GTTTCTAAATCAACCGCATTTCCTCATAGCAAAATCCCATAAGACATTGCTATGGAAATAACTGAAATAAACTAATCTAGCTGTCTCGACACTAGTGAGATCTCTAATCTTTTTTACAGCATAAGCTGCACAGCTTAGTCTGCTTACTAGTTTGGATATATGGGGGCCCCACTGAAGCTTTGCGTCGAGTGTCATGCCAAGAAAAACAGAAGATTCAACAGGACTCAGTTCTTCCCCATTTAAGAACACATTGGTATTCAGATTTTTAACATTCGTTGTTGTAAATTTAATACATTTAATTTTATTGCCGTTTAAATGTAGATTAGTAAAGTTAAACCAATGCACTGCTGACAGGCGTGAGTGTTTATGTATATAACTGCACTTAGTATAAAATACGCCGAAGTGACACCTACAATACCCGTTTTATCTAAGTAAAATTACGACTGAGCGCACAAGTCTCCTCTCATTTCTAAGAGGGCAATGGCAATAAATAATTTCTAATATAATTCTGAAACATTAAAGTAGGTAGGTTGGTCAAAAATTAATACATAATAGATAATGGAGCTATATTTAAACAACTATGTACTTGTTGTGATATGGAAGCTAAATGTATGGAAGCGAAGTGTATATATGAATTAATTAACTACGACAAGTCAAATTTAGCCTTATGATCATGAAATCCCCCTGATCGATTTTCGTATCAATGTCGAAAATTCTCCCAACACCCTCATAAATCCATTTGTATGCTCTCCAAACAAATAAGTCCTGTAGAAGACCATCAATTACTGTCAAAATAATATAGAATCATACAAGTTTCGGCGCCCGTTCGTCTTAACTAGGGTTGCCTCCTTTTTTATTAATAAATATAGTATTTTTGCCAAAAAAGGCGGAAAAATATAGTTCTTTTGGGAAATTCAGGAAAAAAGTATAGTTATTTATAATCTTTATGTGTTTTTCTATATAAATTTATTATTGTTTTTCGCTTTGGTCATCAACAATTAATATAATTATATGAATCTGAGCAATTTAGTTTCATTTTAAATAAATTAACAATTAATTTTTAATTATTGTTAATTTATTTATATTAATTTTATTTATATATATTTATTTATATATATATATATATATATATATATATATATATATATATTAATTTTTAATTATAGTTAATATATTTCGTTTTTTAGAAAAAAAAACAAAAAAATTTAAATTTATTATTTATTTATTTCTTCTTTCCATTTAACATTCATGGCGTAAAAATTCTTTCCGTAAAATTTACTTTTTCCAGACTTCAAAAATCACGACATTTTAATTAAGGGAAAAATATATGTAGTATTTTTGTACTATATTATTTTTCTATAATATATAGTACAATTGACTAAAATATAGTACGATACTATATAATTATTATAGTACAGGTGGCAACCTTAGTCTTAACCCACTTGTGCCTAATATAAGCCACAGTAGAAAGCGTTTAGTGGTGCGTGTGGCGTGCGAGCGTGTGTGCCTGCGTGCGTGCGTTCATGCATGTGTGTGTTTGTGTGTGTGATTGTGTAACATAGTCATAAATCTCAATAAATCAGTTTGCTCTCCAAACAAACATTATTCAATTGATAGTGGTATAAGAACGTAGAAAGGCTAGAATACAATGTAAGACTGACACAACAGTGTTAGCGTCGTCTGGAATTCAAACACAGGACATGCGGCATTGCCATGCTGCAGCTATTAGTAGTATAGTTTTAGCACGAATGGGTCGACTCGACCGGGGAAGGACCACACTCTCACAGAAAACCAGCTTAAAATAGTAGCTTAATGCTGCTGTGTTTCGTATGGTGAGTGTAGAGAAACGGAGACGGAAGAGGAAACAAAGCATTCCCTCTTAGTCCTCACGGGTGACGACGCATCTGCATTTTGATTCGTAATCGAAGATAGATGTAGATGTCTATGGGCATTGGGCACACAGCAATCACTTACCATCAGGTGGACTGTGTGCTCGTTTTTCACCCTTATCTTATAGAAAAAATTACTAGGTAATCTGACCACTAGGCTAAGCTGTCGATGACTAAAACAAGTATGTCAACAAGCCAATGGGTTCAGTCAGTTTGAAATTACATAAGTATGTAAACAACACAGAAGATTAAGATTTGACAGTAATTGCATAAAGATATAATTCTCATACCTAAATTTCCTCATAACTCACTGCATTATCATTCAATCAACTATATTTTATAACTTTTTAAATTATTATTTAGGAACAGTATCATATGTATTGTCAAAACAGATAACTATCAATCCTGTGGTTAAAGTATTGGTTGACAACATGTGATACATCATTGTAAAGTTTGTAAAGTTCCATTTTTATAAATTTTAAGTTTGTAAAGTTAAAATTGTATTTATATAAAGTTTAATTTCAATTGATCAACTGATGAAGCATTACTAACAATTTTATTTATGGTGAAGCGTGAGACATCATATGTTTATTAACATTATTTCTGATTTTATTTGAAATAGACTTGAAAGCCAGCCTAGAGACCTTTTTATGCACAGATTTAAACAACTTCCAAATATTACAATAATAGATAATATTATCATGCATCACAGAAAAGTTCTTTAAGAGCTTGTAGAACAGTCCACAGCTGGCTGTGAATGTGTTCAATTACACAAAGGTTTACCATAATGACTTCTATAGACATTGGCAGAACAGCAGTGACTGGTCTGGCTGGTCAACAAAATACTAAAAAGCCACTTTTAACATACCTGATATAACCATTATGCAACAATATTATAGATAAGCTATACAGTACAGTGTTATACCTATGTAGACAATCTGGATAAGACTAGAAAAGGCTGTCAATATTAATTAAAATTCATTTAGATTAGACTGCATTAGCAGTTTTGTATAAAAATTAGGACAGGTTAGGATTTAGACTCGGAACATAAATAATATGTTCCGAGTCTAAATTCTAACCTGTCAGGAGTAACAAGTTTTAAACAGAATGGACCAAATAAATAGCAAAATGATATGAAAAATTATAAACTAACTAGAAATTAACATAATTTTATGTTGAAAATTGTAAGAGACAACTTCACAATAAATTAGTCTAATTAGCTATTTAACATTGTAGATTTAAAAACTTTTTTGAAGTTGGTATAATATTCTTGAGAAATAATAAAGTTTGACAATATGGAATAGCTTCAAAGGTGCAATTATAATAAATTCTTCCTGGAATGAGATCAGTCCAGCAAGACTGTTATGAACTGAAAAAAGTTGCTTTAAAGAAAAGAGTATTGCTTAAATACCAGGTTCGTATCCATCATTTGTCGTATTTTATAATATAAGGAAAAGTAAAAGAAAATCAGTGTCCCACATTGAGATACATATATTTTTTTATAATATAAGATGGAAGTCTATCAATCAATTTCAAAATATTTTAAACAATAATCAAGGCAACAAACAGTTTAATAGTTTAGGTTAAAGCCTGAACCTAATAGTCATAGGTATCATCTCATCATCTCCTAGCAAGCTATCAAAGGAAGGAGTGATTTAATAAGAACATTAATGATGTTAAGTGTTGTAGTAATTCCTCAATATAAAATAATTAATGGCAGGTCATTAATAGAATAGATACAATTCAATGCTTTAAAGCAACAATAGCCTATTTTAATAAAGTTATTGGTTAACTCTCACATATAATTACTACTGTAACTCACTTCTAATCAACCATTTAAAACTTATTTAAATAGTTGAAAGGATTAACAAAAATATTAGTACAAAAACAAGTTAGCATTGTAATATTAAATATTGTGGGTGGAATTAAATCCAGATAAAGTCAATACTATGAGACCATGAGCTATATATTATAATGCTTCTTAATCTATCTATACAAATAAATAAAATTGGAGAGTCTGTTTGTAACGTCAAAATAACAGCTTTTCACTAAATGCATATGAAAGTATATAAGGTACTTATAACAAAAACACAATTTTTAAAATTTTAGTCTGTTTATCTGTCTGTTTGTTCCGGCTAATCTCCGAAACGGCTGGACCGATTTTGATGGGACTTTCACTGGCAGACAGCTGATGTTATAAGGAGTAACTTAGGCTAATTTTGTTTTAGAAAATAATTAGGGTTAAAAAAAATTAAAAACCTAAATTACACACGGGTGAAGTCGCAGGGAACAACTAGTAAACAATAAAGGTTAACTCTGAATGATAGCATGGAAATAAGTTTGGATGATTTATCATAACATCTCTACATGTGACAATACATGAAAACTGCAACAAGAAGAAAACTGTCCTCATAATTATATAATTTCAATTGGAATATGATTAAGAGTCAGTAATATTATTTTAAAGTACTTTTGCTTCTTACTCTATTCAGAAATGAGAAGCCTGAGACCAGCAATAGGCACTTTATTTTTTTACTTTTCCATAAATTTTAATTAGCCTTCTGATTATTCTTACAGATGTTTGATTAAATTTAGTGACAAATCAACAACATTATAAAATCTTGCAGTACCACCGTAACAATCAAATGAAGTTACACCTTATCAATGATAGTCTTCAGAAATATTACGGTTATTTTAAAAAAAATAGCGTAAAAACACCTTGGATGTCCTAAGCAGGCAAACACAGTCAATAGTAAAAACAGAATTTATCATGAATCATCGGCGGGAAGGCGGTAACAATATTATTACTTAGGTTGCTTGGAAACTGGTTGCAAAAGGTCAAATTTCTGAAAGGTTAAGTCCAAATACTCTTAGTGCAAACATTTCAATTTGTTTGCACTTTTTAAATACTCAAAAATTATCAATGTAATGTGACAATCGGCGAGAAAGGCGGTGCCTGGTCGCTCATCGTCAACGAGCTTGGGCGATGGCGGTCAGCTAACGGCCAACAACCGCTTATAAAACAGTAGTCAACTTTTTAATATTATACTACAGCATTGAACTCGTACGTACTTTAACAACAGAAATAATAAGGTTATCAGGCAAACTTACCACATGACAACTACAGATTTTACGATTTCTATTCTACAGCCACCATTCACTCACAATACAAAACACATTCCACATCCACAATTGACACACAATGACAATTAATCTATACTCGTTGCTCGCTGATCACCACAGAATCACAGAACCCAAAGAGTTAATATTTACGATTTTGCCAATGAGGGCGGACAAAGGTCTTAGACTTACAGCCTAGCCTGATATGTAGGTATTTTATTCACAAAGTTGATGCGTCACTTGGCAAAGTTTTCGAGAGACTTTTACATCAGCTTAACCCAGCAGAAAGCTGATGACGAGTGTATATCGAGCCACCAAAGCGAATAAAAGACTTGAAATTTTAATAAATCACCATCTAAGCACTTGTAAAGTCATTTCCACTAATGGTTAACAGCATTTGTGCGTATCAAAATCCACTTCAACAATAAAGGGCCTGGGGCCAAATTACTGCCAATTAGATTATCTTTGTGCCAAATTCCGAAGATTCGTGTCCGTTGGGGATGGATCATCCAGGGTAATTGCAATATTTTAATCTAGCTAACATGACGTAATAAAATTGAACACACTGATAGTGAAAGGGGTGGAAGCTGTTGCACTGATTTCAGTAGAACAGGTATCTATATAATCCTTTTTTTAATTATCGTACTCACATCTAATTAAAAAAAAAATATGCTTATTTTTATCAAAATTTGCTGAAGAACATAAATGAAAGCGCGTTTTAATTGTTAATAATAATTGAGATCGTTGGAAATTAAGATGTTAGTTTGAATTAAAATAACAGAGAGAATACATCCAGACTATGTGCGTCATAGTTGTGTTTTATTTTGCGATAAATACACAACATCGCAAATATTTATTTATTAATTTTATTTGTAACCCTGGACATTAAAAATAATAACCGTATTAAAACCTCACACTCTTGAAATAAGACCGTTTTTAACACAATGTAATTAAACTATGAATTCGAAAACGATCATATATTATTGAAAATAAAAGTATTTTAAAACTAAGCTAGGCTGAAATGTCATATATTTTAAATTATTATTTTCGTTTATCCGTAATCGTAATTAATAACCAAATCATGTAGTGAATTCGGTAGATTTATCTTTGGATAAACACCTGAATGTGGATTGTGGGCTATATAAATATTTATTTATTTATTGAGAATAACCAGGAGTTACATGTAAGGTAGTGGCATAAATTTATTGATAAGTCATTAGATACAGAATGGGTCGCACATATAGGCAATAAATAAAACCACATACTTGGTATCGCCTTTGCTGACGATATACAAAAATGAACGTAATCGGTCGAGTAATTAGGTCAAAAAATAGAATTTTAATTTTAATCAAATTTGAACTCTCTATAGAATTGGGTCACTAAGTCAATGATTCAATGAATTTGAATCCTTGAACATTAAAAAGCGACGTTGCCACGCAGTGCAAACTATTGCGACGTATTGACAGCGGTGTCTTTTGGCGGCGTCCATAAACAAGCGGCACGAGGCACGCGGCGCTCTTAAAAGGCGACGGCGCAAGTGCGCGCGCGCCTGTGTCTTAGAGTAGGACACCTATTGTTATCGACTATTAGCTTCTTTGAAAAGGAGTAATGATCGATAAACATAGAAAAAATGTTTAGCTTTAAATACTTAGGCCATGGTGTTTTTAGAATTATCGTGCTGATATGATAATTCTAAAAACACCATGGCCTAAGTATTTAAAGCCAAACTTTAAAGCTAGCTAAGTATGTTCTTGTAGATTTAGAGATATGTAATAAATTATTTTGACATGATAAAAAACCCATAAAAACAACCAATTAAAAAGTCATACTTATTTACCCGTTTCCTAGGACGTCACAATACGGTAGTTTCGTAAGTTCAATTGTACAAAAATAAACTTCTTTTTAACAATCAATAACTTGTCAATTGTTATCAAATGAAAAATTAAAATTACTTGTATTCAAATTTCTTGTAGTAGGTAAGTAAATGTAAAAAGAAGTGTCGATAAACGATAGTTGCACCTTGTGACTGTCCTTTTTATTATTTTTATTATTTTCGCCATTTTAGAATTTGGAAGTTTCGCTTTCAGTTCACCGCCAATATTCAAGGATACGGGTGCGTTTCGCTGCTTACTCGGTTTGCTTTAAGTGTTTTATTTTTCGTAAGATAAATACAATTATTCAAACAATGTTTTTACGGTGAAATGGACACTTATTAGTTAATTGACTTTGTGTGTGTAAATAGTGTTTTTAAGTACGTTTATTTTTATTAGTTTTTGACAACATTATGCGGGGATGTAACTTGTGCATTCAAGGACGTGGCGGACATTATGAAAATTTTAAAATTTAGGGTTCAATTGAATTTTGCAATAAATATGCAATAATATTTATTTCGTTCAGTTCCACTATCGCGAAATAAAAAAAGTGTAAAAATACCTAAACAGTTAAGTGAGTAAGTTTTTATTTCGTCGCACATTGTCAAACGAATCAAAGGCCGTGCCCACAATAACGCTACCGGCCGCCAACCGCTATGCCACCCGCGTGCAACGTTGCCACTCTTCCAAGGGGTCAAGGTATGTAGTCTAAACAGAGTGTTTACTTTTATTGAATTTAGTTTAATATTTATTTTAATTGAAAATTTCACTTTTTTAATTTAGGGGTTTTAAATTAATATTTAATTTTTCTACACTTCTATGGACTAGTATTACTTGTGGTTTCATTTATTGCATATAATATGTGGATTCCTTACTGTATGTGTTTATTTATAAAAGTAAATAACAAAATTTTCGTAAGTCTACTTTACATGAAAAGTTTCCAGTTTCAAGAAGATGTGAAAGGAATACAATAAAATAAATGATAATAAAAATATGTTGTATTAAATAATATTTCCAAAATTATTTTTAAAATATTTTATTTAAAAAAGATTTGAACCTTATGATATGACAATAAGACAAAGCATGGGCCATTACGAACAGATAAAAAATTTGTTTTGTAATGTAATCACTAAGTAGTTACGGTTAAGTTCATGCTAAGGTAAAGAAGGTTCATGCATGCATAACTTACAAAATAACTAAACTCTTACTGGGCTACCTTAACAATTAAGCCATTGGTTTTATACTATGTAAAATATTCTTAAAACGTAAATAAATGGAGTCACGTCTTTAAAGACGTGCTGTTATTTGCTTAGCAGGTGCTGCCGTATGGTAGATGATTTCGTGATTTATTATTAAATGTCTGAATATGAGAACTATTAGCAGAAACAATGTAGCAGATACTTTAATAGTCATATGAATCTTTTTTTTATCCGCTTAGGCGCTTTAAGATAGAGATACTATCGTCGTATATTGTGCACTGGGTTAAGCTGTTATGAAAATTTCTCAAGCGAGGCAGTATGGTCTAAGATCATTGCCTACTTCATCACGGGAATCCTAATAATTACAACAATAACAACAGGAGTCAAAAATCAAAATTATGAATTTTTTTACAACTATTGGTTAATATTGCTAATTATTTATTTTAAAAATGCTAACCAGAAGGTGGATTTCTATTCCTAACTCTTATAGGTTTTACAAAAAACTTGTAAATAAACAAAACAAGACGTGGCCGATAATTTGTGAATGTGTTCAAATACAACAGCTAAGGTTATATTTTGTTTTCGTTTTGTCTAAAATTCATCTGTTATTTAATTAGCTAACAGTTAATTTTTTTACAGACCGATTACAATAAATACCCCTAAAAATGCTGAAAATATTTCGAAAGCGAATAATATTCTTCTGTCCAGTGGCATGTCAAAGAATCCTATGAAAGTCCTGAATCATACATCATTGTCGTCAGAGGAACTTCTTGAAAAGTTAATAGCAGGATTATCAGCTGACATACATCAAAAAAGGAGAGTTTATAAAAATGATTTATTGAGGGTAATAAATAAAGTAAAAGAATTAAATTTTTCATCCAAAAAGCAAGGATTACTATTAATTAGATGTTGTACTGACTTACTTCCTGATGAAACACCATCATCTAGAATGGCTTTGCTGGAACAGGTGTGGATGGCTTTAAAGTAAGAATCATCTTTTATCAATCTTCTTTTTACATGCATGATTGTCTGCTTAAACTTCTATTAAAGTATGTGTATTCGTTTTTATTATTCAAGAAGTCAGTGTTATTGTTGGTAATAAGTTTGATGTATTCTTACAGACCCCACACAGACTTTGAAGTGGAGCATTACAATGAGTTACTTCGAGTATATATAGCTAATAATAGGACATTAACAGTAAGCTCTTTTATTCATCAAATGGGTAAAGTGAAACCAAATATTTTGACTTATGAGTTAATTTTGAAGGCTCTTGGTGAGGTAATATTAAAATTCATAGCAAAAGTAGTCTGTCTTAGATTTATCATATAATTACCAATACTGCTCTTTATTTAAGGCTGGAGACTTGGATCAAGCTACAGAAGTTATTTCAAACATGAAATCCCAAGAATTACCAGCAACAGAAAATATATTTAATTCCCTTATTGTTTGTCAAGGCAAGTGTGGGTAAGTCCAGCGGTGATTGGTCACATGTTTTATCACATGACGCAGTCGCTCGCTCCTTAAGTAGAGAGCGGTTGCATCATCGGTCTGTATAAAAGGCACTTGTTTTGGCTCGCCGCTCACTTAGCGGTTAGCCACCGTAGAGTCTATATCACCTGAGGATGCCTCGTGTAGAGGCGAAACACGTGTCGTATTATCGTCAGTGGTGTGTCTAGTGTAGTGGTGTTGGAAGTAGCGGTGCTGGGATTAATGGTGACGGGGATAGTGCACGCAATTGAGGGAGGGTGGGAGATGCTCTTCATACTAGGTAAGACACATCATTTTATTTTATAACACGGATATTTGCGAAGTAAATTTTTCTAAAAGCTTTTATATGATCAATTCTATTTAATCGATTAGTTATTAGTACCCTGTAGTCCATATCTACAAGATTATTAGTGACCGACCAAAGATTCGGTTACAGCAAGTTTCGGCAAAAAAATCTGCCGAACCTTCGGCGGCACTGAAACTGAATTTTCGTGGATTATCGTGCGTCGTTCCGATGAGTTTGTGACTCGTGTATTACTCATAATTATACAGAAACAAAAACTTTTTTATTCAATATAGATTATAAATAATACTTATTAAAAGTCACTCTTTCATTTAATTACCACTGGTTCGAAAAAAAACCTCTGTCCTTGGGATAACCAGCAAGAAACCCAGCTGGACGTTTTTTTTTAGAAAACAGCTTACAGTCAGATGCGTAGCGTGGACTCATATAAACATGGGCGAAGTTGCATCAGCGAGGCCCCTTTTCTTCATTCCAAGGATCTACTCAATAGATCTATCCTACCAAACATGCCTTGATACGACATACCTACTCATATCTATTAATTCCTGACAAGTCTCCTATTCCATCAATGTAACAGTCGCGGTCTTGGAAGGTAGTCACAATAGCCTCACAGTCGCACTTAAGAGGGGCTTCTTGCGAGGCCCCAAACATACATACTTAAATTTGTGACTTTCTTTTTCGAGTGTAAAATTGATCAAATTAATTAGTCATCTGTGGTAAAGGGCATTGCATTTTTGGGAGCCTCACAAGGCCTTTTAAGTGAAAGGCCGTGGGTGAGAGCCCAATTCGCCCATGCCTAGCTACGCCACTGCTTACAATCATGTATTTAACACAATTAACAACACAAAACAAATTAGAAACAGCTTGGTAGCGATCAGCTCATTCCCAAGGGTTATTATCATCCATAAATTCTTTAATATTATAATAACGCTTTTTATACAAACTTAGTTTATTAAAATTTTTGAACTTTGATCAGGTTTTGTATATTTTCATGGATTTTGTTAAGTTGTGTGTATATTGTGTGTGTGTGTATGTGTGTGTGTGTGTGTGTGTGAGTGTGATATATTAAGTTAATGCTCTCACTGCATAATATTAACAATATTGTGAACACAATAAAATATGTTCTCAATCAGCGAGTAACTTTTTATGGGTGTAAGTGTTGATTTCTTTGTAAAATTGACTTAAAAAGTATTTCTTAACATTAATTTGTTGATGTTTACTTTAAAATAAATATATTGCTACAAGACTTTACTTTATTACTCTTTTTCATTAACATTTCCTATCTGTTTATGTATAAAAATATACCATATGTATACAATAAAAAATAATTAACATGTCTAAATAAGTATCGGTTTCGGTTTTGGCCAAAACTTACACCCAGACTGAAGGTACGTTTTCCGTTTCGATTTCGGTTGAAAATCGTGTTTCGGTTGGACACTAAAGATTATCAATTGCCAATTTTCTTGAACTCTAAGGAATCCCTGACAGCTAAATATATAACTAATAAACATGATCCACAATTTCAAGAATAATACTCATCATCATGACAGCCTATCAAAGTACTACTATAAGTTCACTGCTGAACATAGGCCTACTTCTTAAATTACGTTGTAGGTGGATATTTGTCAGAGTTGCCATGCTTGGCTGGTGGGGTTTCAACTGCAGTTTTTTATTAATGTGAATTGTTACTAGGGAGATGCTGCTGCCCATCTCCTGTTTTATATCACTCTGTTGCCTTTTACTACACTCATGGGATGTGATGGTGTAGTAGATGATGGAAGAATAATATTTCGTAGGTATAATATGTAGAATAGAATAGAATAGAATAATTTTTTATTCAATATTAATTATTACATAATACTTATTAAAAGTCATTTTTTATTTACCACTGGTTCGAAAAATACCACTGTCCTGGGAAGAACCAGCAAGAAACCCAGTGGGACTTATTTTTTTCAAACATATTTCACTTAACAATAATTTTGTTTATACAATTTTGAAATGATTTGTCATGGAACCAGCATGGTGGCGATCACCTTATTCCCAGGGGTTATTATCATTCATGTATTCCTTGATATTATAATAACCCTTTTTGTACAGTTTTTCTTTAATAAAACTTTTAAACTTGTTTATTGACAAACTTTGAATATATTCTGGGATATTGTTGTAGTAGCGTATACATTACCCCATAAATGAATTACTGATTCTGTGGAGTCTAGTAACTGGCATTACAAGCTTATGTTTGTTCCTAGTGTTTAAAGATCATCCTTAAACATGAACATCCTTATTCTTATTAAAGCTATTTATGTTTTTATGTACATACATTACATTTTCATAAATATATTGCGATGCCAAAGTTAATATGTTTAGTTCTTTAAATTTTTCTCTGAGGGTCTTTTTATAATTTAGGTTATATATCGCCCGTACGGCTCTCTTTTGCAAAACAAATATAGCTTCAATATCAGTCGCATTACCCCATAGCAAAATTCCATAAGACATTATGCTATGAAAGTAACTAAAATACACTAATCTAGCTGTCTCAACATCTGTGAGACTTCTAATCTTTCTTACAGCATATGCTGCAGAATTAAATCTGCTTGCTAATTTAGATATATGGGGGCCCCATTGAAGTATTAGTATAGTATTATTTGTTATTTAATCGTAATATTGTTGGTGTTGTGACTCACTGATTATGGCATTCTGGTATGTTAGGGTAACATATACTTATATATAAAACTAATTTATAAATATAGGTCATGTATTTAAGTTTAGGATGTTCCAATTTTTTGAAAATTAAACAGCTATATTTTAAACTTATTAAACTAACTTTATTTGAACAAAACTTCTGCATTAAATGCCATATTGATTTTGGTATAGGAATCTGAAGAACATTCAAGAGGTGCTGTCTATGATGAAATCCCTTAAGCTTGAGTATTCTCTTGACACATACACAGCTACAGTAAGGGCATATGCATTAAATAAAAAACATGAACAAGTATTGAAAGAAATGGAGAAGGCCGTAGAAAATGGATTTCAGTTTGAAGAAACACATATAATGGAGATAGTAAAAACCTTGGCCTCTGTTGGGTTATATGAGACAATTCCTAAGGTACCTGTAACTTTATAAATAATTATACATACAATATGTAAAATTGTATGCTCTATCCGATTCAAAATATCTAGGTTCTTCAATGACATAACCAAAAAAAAATTTAAACATTTTTACTACAATTTGATTAAAAATCAGCATATTTTTAAAATCAGGCAACACCAACTTTGGTGGTGGTATATGTTAATGTGTAGCTGTTAACAAATTCTAAACAGAAGTATTTTACCGCATGCGCCGCGTGTATTGCCCAATATTTTTTTTGCTATTTAAGTCTATTTTATTTTGTTTTGCTAGGTAATTTATTTATTTATTCTCTGAAATTCCTTACATGAACTAAATCATATCACATAATTTAAAAGCATCCTTACGGATTGAACAGGATTTTTTACATGCTGTATGAGGTATTCTGTTAAATGATCTAAAAGTAAATAAAACTAGGGACTTTATTATTCAGTCAATCATCACTTACATGAGAACAAATATTATGCTTAAAATTAAAAGAATAATAATTCTCACAGCCAATATCAGATTTTTTTTGTATTATTTTGAAATGTTGCATATGGCATAGCTGTTCTAATTATATCAAAGTTATTTAAGATTTTAAGATATTATATTTTTAATCACTAAATCATAAACTATGAAACTTGGCAAAATTTTAACATATGTGTATTTCTATACATATTATTATTTTTTATTTTAGGCACTGAAATTCCTCCCGGAAGAAACTCTCCAAACACCATCCATTTCTCCATATATGCAGAGTGTATCTACATTGTTGGTGTTTCAAAATCACCCAATGGCAGCTCTTGAAATATATAAATGTCTTCCGTTACCTTCATTTGGCCCCAAAGACGATCAAGGACTACATGGCAGGAGCCTAGTTAGGGATTGTGTTAAGGCTTCAATGGTGAGATAACAGTTTTGTTTCTCTTTTTATTTTAAATTGGTTATAGGTCCAAAGTGGCAGTAGCAATAGGCTGGTCATACTAAGAACTGACAACTGATGGGGAAAAAAGATTTCGTAATTGAAGTTTATTATTAATTAACTTTTGATTTCTTTTTATTTCCTTTTTTAGTTGTTGGGAAAGAATTGCTATATAGCAATAAGACTGCCTTTTGTTTTTCACTCTGTTTGTTTTTTGTTATGTCATTTGTTTTTTAGCGTATAATAAAGGGTATTGTGTTGTGTTGTGCGGCCCCCTACTAAAAATTTATTGACATACTGCTCAGTACCGTGCTTAGTGGCATTCCTTGGGAGATGCCTAGTGGACTTGTTTTAGGCTATTATGATAATAATGATGATGATAGATTCAAGACAGATATAAGTATTTTTTGAATTTTTATTTATGAATTTTAAATTACATGTATATACTATAAGAACAAGTATCTTATAGTACAACATGTTTATAAGTTTTGATTAAACAGACTGGTGGAAAAGTGGTTTTTGTCATTCATTCATTCATTCATAACAACCTATCACTGTTAAACATAGGTATACACATAAACAAAGTCCACTGCTAAACGTAGGTCTCTCTCAGAGATTGCCTCATGGAGTTACTGCCATAGTTGCCACCCTGGCAGGCAGATTAGCAAACGCAGTTTCTAATATTTTGAATTGTAGTCAAAAGGCAGTTGCTTCCCACCTCCTGTTTTATTTTCCACTGTTACGTATTACAACAACCATTGATATAAGGTAGTAAATTAATGTTAATTCCATTTATCCACACTAAAAAATCCACCCTGAGATGGATACTACCTTATTGCACTAATAATAATGAATATATTTAACTTATTTTTCCTTAGGGTGGCTGTTTTAGGGTGGATAAACGTTTGGTGGCGCTGTCGTCGCGCCACAGGCCAAACACATCGAAGCCTAAATTGCGCTAAGAAAGTTCCGAAGTCTCTTTTTTTTATAAAACTACCCCCACACTAGGATTTTCTCCTGTATCGTGGAGGCAGTTTACAAACACAAATTGCACAAGGACAAATCCAGACCCGGAACAATTATAAAAAAAAATATATTATAAAAAAATTATATTTGTAGGCCATACAAATATTTGTCCCGTGCGGGATTCGCCACCCGCGCCCCCCAGCGCAGCAACTCTTTGATAAGCCACTACGCCACGGAGCCGAAGAAGTTCCGAAGTTAAAGCAGTATATATAGAATAGCTCCGAACTACTACTCGGAGCGTTGGCCGCTCCCCGGGCAGAACACCTTGCCCGGCGGGAGATCTCTCCTTTTCCTTCCACCCGCCACAAATGGAATAACCCGTAGATTCTCTAATGCCACACTATAAAATGGCTCCTCATAATCAGTCTCAATGTGGTATGAGTATGAGGTAGTTATTCTACCATTTTAGATCACAACGTTTTCTGACAAAGCAGTCAAATTTTATGTTAAACACAAGTTGCGATGGGTGATTTTTATTTTGCCTTATAAATAATATAATTATTGAATAGCTGTGTTGGCTTTGTATCATTGTATCATTGTCTTACAGCCATCCAGTATAATATGTCTGATCGCGGAACAGCTAATGGCGTCCGGCCGCAATCCCATAGCACTTCAGAATGCATGTGAAGCAGCACTGCAGCTGGGTAAAGTGCCATTAGCTTTAGACTTGTTCACTCGAATGAAGCAAATGGGAATGGCCATAAGGCCACATTATTTTTGGCCTATACTCCTGCACACATCGAAGACATATGGAGAGAAAGGTATAGAAATTCCTTGTTTCACATTTTGTATTTAAAAATTTATAAAAAAAAAACTAAAGTAATAACAAAAATGGAAAATTACGATACAAGTGTGTTGCTAAGAAATACATTGTTTTATGTCTGAAATAGTATATAATGTATTTAAATGATACATTAAAAAAATTATGACCAACTATGGGAACCATCATAAAGATCTAAAATGATTACGCACACATAATTTTATTTCACAAAGTAAAAGAAAAGAACAATAATTTGTATAGCACAAAGAGACGCGCATAAAAAAGCAGACAGAGAAATAAATAAGTATTATTTATGTCCACATTTATGCTCTGTAAATATTGCACATCCCATTCTATGTATAGAACTCCTTACACCACCAGGTTCTAATCCCAGGTCAGACCAAAATCTGTTATTCGGTTTTTTTATAACAACACACTCAGAATACCAGCATAAAATAGCAGCTTAATACTTATGTGTATTGCATGGTGAGTGTAGATAAACATCTGACGAACACTCTTTTACTGGTAAAGAGGCATTCTATCTTGGTCCTTATTGGTGATAGTGCTCCTACATTTGGATAATAAGTTGAGACCCTCCCATATCTTAAATCTTAATACAGCACATAAGTCCTCGCTTTTCAGGTATAATGAATACACTCTCGACAATGGTCACCATGGAAGTAAAACCAGACTATGAAACCATAATGACATATACTCTTCCATATGTAAGCTTCACTTCACCACAAAACTTGATGAAGAAATTTCAGGATACTGGACTATCTGTGACAACAGTGTTAACACCTATGATGGAAACGCTCCTAAACACGGGACAAGTGAGAGCAGCTAGTGAGATTTGTAAGTAGTGTTGACTGAATAATATTTGTAAAATATTTTTTTCTGCCACTTTTCAAACTGTGTGTAGTCAGTTAGTAAAAAAAAGTATCTGTAAAATAATGATTATAATAATTTATATTATGTATACCCCTTCTTGGGTTTTTGGTAAAAGCCTCCTCAAGCTGTTCTACTTTTTTCTATCCGCTGTAGCTAGGAAACTTCAACCACTAATTTCTATAATTTCAAAAAAATCGCAATAATTTCATTTGTCCATCTGACGCTTGGGTGGCTATAAAAAAGGATTTGAGTTAAAAGATATTTGATAAACGGAATTTAATTATCATACATTGAAAATATTTAAATTTCCTTTTTATATTTTAATTTATAGGTGAACTCTTCCAAGGGAAAGTTGATGCGGAAATTCTGTTGCGGCCGCTAGTTAAGGGTTACTTAACAAGCCTTGACGTTAAATCTACCATACACATTCTAGAAGACATAACATCTAAAGCTGCAGATAAAGGCAAAGACTGGGTGGGAAGGTTTCTTTGTGTGTTCATGCGACATAAGAAAGTCACAGAAGACTTGTCGGATCTTATAGCTATAATAAAGGTTAGTGAAAATCAAATTAAAAAAAAAAACTTGTGGTTTGTGTCAACCAAGTACATGAGGTGTTGAGCATAAGGGAAGAGCACAACATAAGGGATGAAAGGAAAAATTATTATAGGTATATACTAGGTAATTTTCCATAAAATAATTTTATAGTTGTAGCATTTAAATAAGGTTTTAAGTAATTTAATGAATGATAAATATATTGCATGTTGCATAGATTGCGAAATAGCCAAGATACTTTTAGTAATTTAAAGTTTTTTTAACGTAATGGCCTTCAGAATGGGAGTGAGTGTGTTATGTCACATAACACACTGTCCAAGTTAAGCGATTCGTCTTGCACTTGATCTCTCTCTGGACCAAAACAGTGAGGGAATATAGAGTAGACCTGTGTTTGCGCATATACTTGTCGACTATAATCCAATCCTGCGCATAATAATTCCCTAACGCTGCTAGCACATAGCAATATAGTGAACATTTTCTTGTAAATTTCCAGGCATTAAAAGATACGTCCCTAAAGATATCAACATCAGCAGCCGACTACTGCATAAGTCGATTGCCGGAAACCTACGATCAAAAAACGATTGACATCTTTAAGGATACCCTCATCGAGATCACCGACGAGAGGTTGGTCGACGAACATGAGATCTTCGTTCAGCAGATGCCGCATCCTGTAAGTTTGAAATGTGTAAACACGTCAAGTGTTTACAATAGTATTATTATGTTCTCCAAAATTTCCTACATACACATTTTCGTATTCATGTAGATCTACAAAGTGATATTACGAATGATCACTGGGAATCCCATGCAATTGTTTGCGTCATATAATTAAAATGTAACTAGCTCTGTACTGTATCCAGTAAAAAGAATCAATAAGGCCAAGTTTGGTGTAAAATAAGTTTGGAGTTGTTGCCTTTTACTAATAAAAGATTTAACATCTGAAGAGATGCCAAGCTTCATAGCAGTTCCTTAAATCATGGCTATAAGAATGTACAACGTTCTTCAATTGATTTACAAGAAAATTTGTTACGTTCTTTTAATATTGAATTTATAATATGGCAAGTTTTAAGTCAACAAATTATGTTTAAATTGGTGATTTTTATTTGTTTTATTTTAAACTACAAACAATTGTGATGATAGATATCAAAAACGCTCAAGTCACGTTTAACCATTTTTTGGATAATGGTGTTCTTTTATTGTTAGAAGTTTTAGCTAGTAAAAAGCTGAGATTATTACTTTTTGATATGAATATTAAGCCTGGCAACACCGAAAAAATAAAAAGCAAAATAAATACACAATATAAATATACAATTTCGATGATTTTTATCAGGACTTAGGCGCATATGATATAATAATTATGGACTTGGTCAATATTGAAAAATAGGACACTGGACTTGGGAGAGTTTGAAATATTGCAATAGGACTTAGGCGAGTTTGATATGACTTAATAATTAGGGTACGGACTCAGGAAATTAAAATGCAATATTACCATTAAAATATTTTTATTCTTAAAAACATGAAAAACTATAAATAATATGTAAATTTGCCGTTTTTTATGTTGTGTACGTATGTTTTCCTTTTCAATGCCATTTGGACATTTTTAATTTTTTTTTTAAAGTTGAAGGCAATCGGAGCAAATATCTTGCCGAGGTGTTCCAAAATCCTATATTAAAGATGTACTGAATACCTTTCTGAAATAAGATTTGGTTACCGAGAATCCGGATGTGGCTTGATCGTCATACATTTTGTACATCTTAGTAATATTAAGACTTGGGTCTAAATAAATTCTCTGTTTTATCTTGCCCCTACCGTAATGAGAATCCAAAGGTTTAAATTTCATAATAAATTTCTGGACCGATTCCAATTTTGATCTAAATGCAAACACTTTTCGGTCACCACCTCTTCTCTCTGATGCACTAGTCCCATTTTCTGCAAATCTTTTAGTAACGCCTTTTATTCTCCCTTGTTTTATATTTAAAACATCACAAAAAGCTTGAAGGCAAACTGGAACAAGTTCCTTGGGATCCTGGTATTTATTCTTGATCGTTTTCGTTGTACGGGTTTTATAGATATATATTTCAGAATGAAATTATCTTGATCAATTTTCTTGTGACTGCTATTAAACTTCTTATGGAAGTAGAAAATTGTATTAGAAGTTAAAAATTCACATTTGTATTTGCATTTTGTGATGTGCTTACATGTCGGCATTTTGGGTAAAGATTTCGCTAAGCACCTGTAAGAAAAATAAATAAAATATGATCAACACAAGAATGTCTGAATATTTACCCCGTTTAAAATTTCACTATATTAATTGAATACTCAACTATGCATAAAGTACATACCCAATATCTCCTTATTTTACAAGGTGATTAATAAAATAAACTTGAGTAATACGCCACCCCAGCATTCAATTTAATATTAGTCTATAAGTTGTAATGTGAAAGCAATAAAAGCTAAGATAAAGTATTAATATTATAAATACGAAAATTACTTTGTCTATCTATATGTCTACTACATTTTTACAACTAAGCCAAAAATACCGATTGACAGATAGCAAAAATATCCCTCAAACCGTCCCCGAACAATAAGCTCGACCAAGGTTTTAGGAATATTTATTATATCCTCCTAATTACTAATACATTTATAGGTATATATAAAATCTCCCAAATTTAAAAAAGCGGTGTAAGTACGAAAGATCACAATAGTTCGGCTCTGTTCAAGGTTATGATGTCGCTGTCGCGAGGTGCGATCTTGTTATGAAAAAAAAAACTTATATTACGCTCAAACTTACCGATTTTGTATATTTTTATTTATGTTATCACTTGTACATTTCTTCTGCTTCTTCTTTGCTAACTCTGGAGGCACAACTTTTATTAGATTGTCCCTAATTTTTTTTTTATTTAATTAAAATAAAAACACGGAGCACGGTTATTAAAAGCACGTAGAATAAACAAGAAAGGCGGCCATGACACAATAATGACAACGTGTGATTGGCTATAATGGACTTGGGCTCGTATGATTTGAAATGCGTGTGTGACTTAGGTGGGATTGAAAAAATGCATCAATTTTCGCCCTTAATTTCTTTAGGAAGCCGAGGACTTAGATTGGATTGATTTAAACGGAAAGAATCTTAATGTTTTGCTGAATAGAAGAAATAAATAAAATTTAAATTGACCGGTACTGGACTTAGGCGAGTTTGATATCTATCGACACAATTTATTTCGATATAAAACTTGCCAAGTTAGAAATTAATTATGTTATTTGTTTTGCATTGATTACCCCCAGTGTCATTATAAATTGGCATTTCTCTTATAGTTTAATATAAATTTATTGTCAAAGATATTATTTCTTGCTATTTTAATATTATACAGTCAAACCCATGAAGCATATACAAAGAGGAGACGGCATAAGCAACTGTGCACTGTGATTCTACATAAGTAGGTCCTGACGTCATCGTAGTGGTCGTGGCTTTAGTTAGTATATTGTCAGCATTCGTCCTGTGCGCTTATGTGTTGAAAATCGCAAATCGGTGTATTTTCGTAGTATTAAGAAGAAAAGGATGAAGTGTTGTGTTTTATCGTGTAAAAACTACTCAGATAGACGCTCTGATGTTATTGATGGCATTACATTTCATTTCTAAGTAATTATACACCTAATTTATTAAAATAGTTCTAGAAAAATCTTATTGCGTCGGCTTTCAAATGTAATTAAATATATTCGACACTAGATGGCGACACTTTGTATCATGTGAACTAAAAATATAAAGGTACGTAGAGCTCAGTATTGGTAAATTAATCATACGAAGGTGTTGAAATTTGTTTTGCATTTAGACATAAAGAAATTTTAATTGCCAAAATATTATTTTTATGGTTTATAATCATTTTGTGAACTGGCCGCCATCTATCGTCAAGCTACCTAAACTACATTGCTACATCGATATGGAAAGATTAGTAGTTTTACTATTTATCGGTAGATAGATATATAGATGTAGATAGTGTAAAGTGGGCGGGGCTTAACATCCTCTCACCCCCGCAAATTGTCACGCGTTGTCACATAGTGAAATCTAGTTACAACACCTCTTTGTATTTGCTTCATGGTCAAACCTAAGTGAGTGAGAACTGGGTAAGCGAGAAAACTTTTTAAGTAAGAGTAATTGCCTAGTGCCGTCATTTTAACACTATTAAACCTCTATTAGTGAAAAACAGTAACCTCTTCAAAAGAAAGTTGTTTTTCACTGGTGGACCTCTATAACTGAGACTTGTGATTATAGAGGTAACCTCTATAATCACCAGTTAAGCGTATTTAATTTCACTCTTAAATTAAGTGGAACTAACATTGTTTTTGTTTTCTTAAATTGCGAGAAACTAACTAACATTGTTTTTGGATCGTATTCTATTCTAATGGCCAAATGTGCGTGTGTACCGACTTATATCTCGAACTTACTACAGTTGGTAAGTATATATTGCGACGAAGGGTTCGGTACGTACTTATAAAATGCGTTTGAGTGCGTGCAATCGTGAAAATAGAAATTTTATCAGAAATTCTATAAGTAATAGATATGATTTTTAGTTTTCTTCTTGTAAGTATCTTTGACATATTTTTATGAATAATACCGATAGAATACATACATATACTTATCACTACATATTTGCTGTATTTTTTGTAAACGTCTATAAATGAGAAAGGCTACTCCTGTACCTCTATAAGCTAGAAACTCTGGTTAGTGAGAAAGCTTCATAAGCAAAAAAGAAGTTGCGGTCCCCTGAACTCTCGATAATCCCAGCCGCCAAATTTCACGAACGTACATCGCGGCAGAACTCCCGATACCATCCACACCATCTGGATGATTGGCGGTGCACCACTGTGCGATTTAGAAAATGTTTTCTTCCTCGCACGACTTCCTAGTGGAATCGATTACCATCAGCGATTTTTCCGGACCGGTACGACTAAGGACCTTCAAGAAAAGAGCCTAGTCCTTTTTAAAAGGCCGGCAATGCATCTGCAATTCCCCTGGTTCCCTTGGTGTTTCAGTTGTTCATGGGCGGCGGTACTCACTTACCATCAGATGAGCCGCATGCTCGTTTGCCCCCTCTCCTATAAAAAAAAAACCAAATTCGACTGTATATAACATTCATAAGACTATTTTAATTTCGTTGTATTTTTTTACAGAAAAACATGAACGAGCAGTCATTAAAGGCACATCTAAGCGAACTAGAAGCTAAAGGAATGAACACACGTGGCGTACTGCGCAAATTATTGCAGCAGTACTGTCGAGAAAACAATTTACCTGCCGCTATGGAAGTTGTAGAGAAATGCCAGAAGGAAGGGGTAGGTATAGAATTAAGTATAATACATCCAGATCGGCGTTGCGGTCTTTTCGACTGCTGCCCAGCTGTGGGACGTATGTAGGTTCACATTCATTTTTTACATTTAGATAATTACTTTATGAACTAGAATTGTGGTGAAAAGGTGCTGCAGTGTAAAATAATTAGAAATTAAGCAATTAATTAAACGTTTCTTTTATAGTATTTATTCGACTGCCCCAGTAGGATAATGGTTTTCGAATATATGTATGTATGTCTATTTCTTTGGCAAGCTTTGTAGCCTAAACGGCTTGATCATTTTAACATATGAAATGACATTAGATTCGTATTATTGTGAAAATAAATGATATTTACATGTATTACCGTTCAAACTTTTGGATACTGCCGAGGCTTAAGTTGTTAAGTTAGAGTCACGTTGTGGCTGTAATATGGCAGCACAACTGGGATGACCAAATCTTCACAGAATATTGGGGTAAAAAATTACCCTTATTCTATAAAAAAAATACTGTCTGGAGCTATTGTCTGTGCCAGAGATGTTTTAATGTCTCAAGCACACGTGCAAACACAGGTACTTATTCTTTATAGTATAGTATATTCGTTATATATATGCGGGTGTGCGTGCGTGAATGCGTGCGTGCGTGTGTGTATGCGTGCATGCATGCGTGCATGCGTGCGTGTCATTTTACCTCCTCCGTCCATCTAGCTGTATTATTATTAATATTTTGTGATTTTTCTAACTTCTCTGATACGGATATCATTTGTTATTTGAAATAAAGATTTATTATTATTATTATAGTTAAATATGGATTATTATGTATTTGTTTGTATTCATATGCATTTGTGTAATTTTCAAGCCTTATTTTAATATGTGTTATATCTATATAAATTTATTATATTTAGTTAAAGTCACCTGCAACTAATTTCTCACCACGCCATGTGTTCGCTGGCAGAGAAAACTAACTGGCATTAAGTCCGCCCTTTGTAACCTTTATGGTTGAACAATAAAGTTTATATAAATAAATAAATATAGCTGCTACTTGCGTAGGAGTGGCGTACAGAAATCCACTACCCCATATCATTCTGTAGGTGTCGCAAGGGCATTAGGTTCTTCCTAATAACCACTCAATATAACAGAAATAATGAGGTACAAATACTCCATCAGTCAATATATGAGAGAGCTTTATGTTCAGCAGTGGACTTTTGGTAGACTTCACTGATGATTAATGATCGCAGGAGATAAGGGTGCAGTTAAGGTGACCAGATCGGAGAACTAAAATACTTATGGTTGATGATAAGTTGCTTGTCTGGAGCCTGGTGATCGAAAGAAATGTTGGGAGATAAAATGTCTGACGTTTCACGAGGCTCTCATCAAGATGCCGTGCATAGGGCAGTGCAGACACAAACACAACCAACGCAATGAATAACTGAAAAAAAAAACTTTTTGTAGGTGTTTCTTTCGGCCGGTATGAAGGCAGCTATATTCGATCTCTATGTGAAACTTGGCGAGTTGGATTCTGCTGAGTTAGCGCTTGCGGACTTGAATAAATCGTCGCCCAATTTTACACTTGACGAGTTCAAAGTGATCGACTTCGCGACTCTTATGGTTTATAGGAACAGGATCAAGCAGGCGTTCAATTTAATTAACGAACAATCTAAGAAGAGGTAAGAAACTCGCTTATAATGAAGCTAATACAATTTGAATAGTCTAACTTTCTTATTCATAGAAATTCCTTTTTTTATCGTGGTGACATCATCATGGATACCTTCCGCTGCAGGGATAAGGAAAAGGTTATGTTCGACTTCTACCGGCTGAAACCCCACGGTCACCACCCCACATCTTTTGGAAAACACATGAAATTGCGGTCTTTGAGCGTAGCATGCTTATCTTTGTATCAAAAGATTCACATTTTCAAAGCTCTAGTTCTTCTCAATGTCACACGGACATCTTTTAAATAAAATTTTTAGCAACACTTATTCCTTGAACCATCACGGCTCACCAAGTGTATTTTACTTGGTAAAATAAAAAAACAATTATATTCATTTTAAGAAAGAAATTCATGTTGAATCCCGTGTTTTAGGCACGTGATAGGCGGTCGCAATATATCGATGAACTGCTGGAGGTTACTGGACGCAGTTGCAGCGCACGGGACCTCGGAGGAAACGCTGCGAATGTTCGAACTTCTTACCACTTTGCGATATTGCAAACCAACAAATACAATACTGGGGCCCCTAATACGGGCACATTTTAAAAAGTAAGTTTGTGTGTAAGCCGTCATATTCGTAATTGCATGAGTCATTTGTTATCTTTAACATTAATGGCAGTTTAAGCATTAAGAATATAATATAGTCACTGGTGTTTGTATTTCATTATCCACTACAAGTCCACTGCTGAACATAGGCCTCCTCCAATGGATTCCACAAAACACGTTTCTGAGTCACCTGCATTCATCAACTTCCTGCATCTCTTACTATGTTCTCACTCTATGTCGTTGGCCGGCCTACTCTTCGCTTACTATGTTTTCTCTTATTTATGGTAATTTTTATTTATTTGCTCTCGGATATAGTTATCGGAAAACATAGGTCTTCAAGAAGGCTACCTGTTTTTTTTTGTAGAGAATAAGTGTGACAAACGAACACACAATTCACCTCATGGTAAGTGGATGTTGCGGCCCGTAGACAACTACATTTATGCTCGATTAAAAATCAAATTGCAGATGCGTTGTCACCCCTGGGAACAAGACGGAATGGCTGGTTTCCAGAGTTAGTTTCAAATAGAATGTTGTCCTCCCCCAGTCGGTACGACCAATTTTTACCACAATCATAATACAGCTGCAGCGGAGTGTCAACTCACGTACTGCATAATCTATGCATTTTAACGCATTGGAAGACTGTTACTTCGTTTGTCTCCCTAATATATTAAAATTATATAGAAAAAAATTAAACTCTCGTTTTAAATTTTTTAGCGACGACTTACAAGCGGCTTTGCAGGAGTTCGTACGTCTATCGAATAAATACAACAAAACACCTCTAAAGCACGAGTTGCTGTGTAAAATATTATATGTCATGGGTGATGGAGGCTGCGAGGATACTTTTGTAATAAATGAGAAGGGCAATACAAGTTTTAACAAAATGGTGCAGACTGTACTTAATGTAGATAAGAAAGTGCACGGTTCTGGCGACGTACAGGTGCGTTAAGATTAAGTAACTAACTTGTAAATGAGGACATAATTTTTTCAAAACTCAACGTCTTCTCAAATGGAAGTGTTGCCATAGTTCAATAAGTGAATGTCTGTGATAACCTGCAAAACCGAGGCGTGACATTCACTGCTCTTATGAGAGATCTAATCAGTGCATCGTTTTTTTGCTTTGTTTAATCATTATTTATATAAACAGGGTTATTTTTCAAAGAGTAGCCAAATTTTAAACTTAAGTTCAAATATATAAATAATGATATACCGTTATTGCAGTTTTTGACAATACGAGTAAATGAGCTGCTGCTTTTATTTGAAATTATCCCAAATTGAATGTGATATATGGGCAACAATGTTTTGCCTACCGATCGACCTTTACGAATGTGTGTGTGTGTGCGCAGTAAAATCAGTTAAAATAATGCATTACTCATTCTCTCACTCTCCGTTCTTCACAAAGTTTATTCCCGTCCACTCCTCTCCACCATTTTGGGTCTATGTCAAATTCTTTCACAGTTACTTCCATTACCCTCTGGAACAAATTGGCTGTTGACCTGCGAACAATACTAGCCAAAAATATTTTTAAAAGAAAACTATATGAGCATATCCGTAGCCTACAAAGTCGAGTCAACTTATTTTATATGTTTATAGTTATTTATATATACATTTATTGAGATATATATGTATAAATGTGTGTATTTATTTATATATGTATAAGAATTATATATATTTTATATATTAACTACTTTGACGATAGATTGCGGCCTGTTCGCAAAATAATTATAGAAACACGAAATATTGTGAAGAAAAGTTTTGGTCGGCTCGACCAGTTTAGGACCACTCTCTCACAGAATACCAGCATAAAATGCAGCTTAATGCTGCTGTGTTTCGTATGGTGAGTGTAGAGAACCGGAGACCCTTTTTACAGGAAACGAGACATCTCATCTTAGTCTTTAAAGGTGACAATGCATCTTCATTTTAATTCGCAAAAGAAGATAGATGTAGATGTCTATGAGCACAGCAACCACTTACCATCAGGTGGACTGTGTGCTCGTTTGTCACCATTATTCTATAAAAAAAATGTAAAATAAAGGCGTATTCGTCCCACTTTACTATTACGTTACTTTCATGATCTGACGACGATAATGTTCTATTTTTTTAGCTAACCCTAATAACGGCACTAGCCGATGTTGGTTACAAGAAGACTCTTCGCAGACTGTTACTCGATCCGACAGTCAAGTTTCACCCAGACGCATTATTAAGATCTTGTGAAAGATTCGCTGATGAGAAGAAAGTTGGAGCTTTGGAGACAATTGCGGAATCCCTAAGAGACCTACGCTTTGTAAATGTGGAGGAAATATATAACATGATACTGGACGTCTATCGTAAGCAATTGTAGTTCCTAACACATCGTAATTATGTATATGATAAGTTATAGTTTGTACAAATAAAAGTAAGTTTTAAGGTAGGGGTGTAAGCAGAATTGTAACAAATTATCCTTCCAATGCTTACATTACCTGCCCTTGATGATGGGGCTCTAGTGTGTCTGAATATCTATCCATATAAGCCCGACCCTAATCCACTATTCTACTATTGCCAGGGCGAGATCCTGGTTACTGTGATCCCCACTCCGATTTTTCAGTGTGGCAATAACTGATTCTTTCAAAAAATACGTCATTTGAAAAGATAGAATTACATCTATTACGATTTTAATATATGAAAGGATATGTACTATTTCGGTCACTGCGACCAGTCTCAACGGCGATTAGCCGTATGTAGGATAGGATTATAGTGCACGAGTATGTGCGCAAGCACAGGTGCATTCTATTCCCTCGCTCTCGATGGGGCAGCAAGCGCAGGACCAACGGCTTTACGTGCTTTCCGAGGTTACGGGTGTGAAACACTGCTGACAGAAACACCCAATTACTGATTTTTTATTATATAGGAAGGAAAAGAAAAATGTTGCCAACCTCTGATTTTTTATATCTGCTTAATTTTAATTTTGAACTGAAAATGTTGAAGTGTGAACTTCGATTAACTTTAAGATTCCGTCGTGACCTGTCCTTTCATATTACTTTCCAGAACGCGATGACAATTGTGAAGATGCACTGTCACTTTGGTACAAAATGCAAGAAGCTGATGTAACACCGTCGCAGAAGTTCGTGCGTAACCTGTGTTCTCTTTGCACTTCCAATAATAAGGAAATACCATCAGATCTAGCTTTAATGCTCGATAAGGAAAACAGAAAAGCATCCAAGTCCTAAATAGATTCATGTCTCGTGTGTCGAAGTGTCGTGAAGTCATTCAAAATTATTAATGGATAACTTATTTATTGAACTGTAGCGTCTGTGATATTAAATTATTGTGTTATAATTTAATAAAATAATACAACACTATAAACACTTATTTTTTTTTGACATTTTAATAAAACTCTCATAAAATCGACGTCAATTTAAGTTGCTTTCTCTCTTTTTACTAAATGACAACAAAAAGAGATAATCAACAATTTTAAGCAAGGCCGTAACCGTGCAGTGGCGGTGTAAGAATATCCACTACCCTACATCGTCCCGAGGCTGTCGTAAGAGGCGACAGAGGGAAAATGATAAACTCAGCAGGAGCATCTTGCTGATAACAACTCAATAAAAATCTAAGGTTGCCAACACGCTTGCCAAGCGTGGCAACTATGGCGAAATCCCCCCACGAGGCAATTTATGAGGTATGCCTATGATCAGCACAGGACTTTTATAGGCTGTAATGGATAAGATGGCCGTGAGAGATATAAAATAAACAATATTTATTTTATATCTGTAACAGTTACAGATATAAAAATAAATATTGTACGTGTATAAAACAAAGGGGTCAATCGTGTTTGGGCCCACTAGAAATTTCCGCGACCCTCAATGGTATTATATACAAAAAAAAAGATACCAATTTATGATTGTAAATATAAAGATTTTATGAAAATCTAAACGGAATCAAGAAATCTGGAAAATATAAGAGTTTTTTGATATTTATGTTCATGTCATTGGTTCAGATAATGTAATATTAAAAAAAAATTGTAGAGATATGCCAAGTCGGAAGAAACTCGACTCGAGTTAACTTGAGTTGAAATTCACGTCACTCGAATAGTACTCGAGTTACGCAACTCGAATTAGCGGAACGAAGCTGTGTCAGTTTGTTACAAATTATTTTTATATTTGTTCTTCCATCCAAGATAATAATTATTATTAATTAACTTAATGGTTATACCGCGTGTTTGTGAAACGCTCCCGAAAACGTAGTTAGAATAAAATGATAATCGTAGAAATATTTTAATAAAATATTTCTTTTATAATTAATATTAATACGGTTTAGTGCTGTTAAGATCTTCTATAATTTTCTTATTGAGCAGCGATAATTCTTCCATAGCCTGCTTCTTTAGTGGTTCATAGTCGGCTTTAAGCGTGATTGACGCTATGTCCTCTTCCAACACAGTCTTTCTATTCTCCAGATGCGCTACTTGATCTTCTAGGCTATTCAGTTTTGCGTACATCTCGTTGCCGTCTAAAGCCGCCTAAAAATAATAAAAAAATATAAAGAGAGTTTATAGGCGTGTCCAGGGAAAAAATTTAGTATGTAACAAAATGCGCATGCATCGTACAATATTTAAAAGGATAAAGATGAATGATGCTTAATTCTAGATAACTTCATTCTTAAGGCAAAGGGATCAAGGCTGTGAAGAAACATTTAATAAATGGTAAACGATCACTAGTAATACCTGTAGTTTCTTAAGTTTATTGGCGGCCTCTATTACTGCGCTCTCGGTAGGGGCTAACTTCTCTTTTAAAAGTCTCAACTCACTTTCTAAGGCTTTCTTCTGTTCTTCACCTGCAAAAAGATGATAATCGGCCTTACCCATTAAAAACATTTAAAAATGCTTGAAGTTGCTCTATTTTCACTAAATGTCAATAGACGTGGTAGAGCCATGCTGCAGCTATATTATGGTTGTAGCACGAATGGGTCGGCTCGACCGGGGAAGGACCACGCTCTCACAGAATACCAGCGTAAAATAGCAGCTTAACGCTGCTGTGTTTCGTATGGTGAGTGTAGAGAACCGGAGACCCTTTTTACTGGAAACGAGGCATTCCATCTTAGTCGTCACGGGTGACAACGCATCTGCATTTTGATTCTTAATGGAAGATAGATGTAGATGTCTATGGGCCACTGCAACCACTTACCATCAGGTGGACTGTGTGCTCGTTTGTCACCCTTATCCTATAAAAAAAAGAGAGAGACTGGTATAGAAATAATTAATATATAAGTGAGCGATAACCAACGTACTTGCTACTAACTAACGTATTTTTAGGTAATGTTTTTCTTGTAATGCCGTTAACATTTATTTGAGTATGCATTACTAAAAACCTATGCAACTTGTTTCTTTATCATTGGATAGTTTAGGTTTGACCCACTATCTGGTTCAGGCCGCGAACTTATACTAGTATCTCCGTAAGTAGTCGTCGATTAAGAATGAATATGCAGATGCTCTGTCACCACTGAGGACTGATATGGAATGTATTTTTTTTACCAATAAAAATTCTCATCAAGTTCTCATCGCTTATCATACAAACCACAATAGCATTGTGCTGTATTTTTACACGAATATTCTATGCGATATTCCCTTGTGTGGTCTTTCCCGGGTCGAGTCGACCCATTCATGCTAATACGTAAAATATAATAATTAATTATTTAAAAGAATCTTGGTAATAGTTTTTAAAAGGTTTATAGTCAGTAGAGTTTATCTTATGCATGTTCTCTTACCACACTTGTTATAGTTGTTCATCATCATCATCATCATTACAGCCCTTCACAAGTCCACTGCTGAACATAGGCCTCCCCCAAAGAATGCCACAAAGCACGGTCCTGAGCCACCTGCATCCATCGACTTCCTGCAAATCTTACCAGGTCGTCACTCCATCTAGTGGGGGGACGCCCTACACTTCGCCTGCCGGTACGAGGCTGCCACTCGAGAACCTTTCTTCCCCATTATAGTTGTTACTTTCAACTATTATAATTAAAGACTAGACGTTCCATCGTAGTCAGACACCAGGCTTGGTTGGTAGATGGCTGCAGATGTAGGCTTCAGCAATCACTTGCCATCAAAAAGACAGCAAGTTCGCTTGTCATTATAATGACATACACTTTCACGCCTATCATACAGAGGGGTGGGCAAAGATTACGGGTGTCCATTTAGCACAATTCTGACACAACTCTCGTCACATCCATATATCTACACATACATTCCTCATCCTAGTTAATTAAGGGTAAGTATTACTTAATTTGGTTCATTTTCAATATATCGCTAATTTCGTCGATAAATTTGCTTGCTAAAATAGATAGAATGATTCAAGAGGAAAGTTTAAATGCATATTATATAGGTAATTCATCTGTCCGTGTGTATGTGATTTTGATGAAATGTTGTGTGTGTGATTAAGTCGATTAGAGAATGGTTTAGATTCACAATTGGACCCAGTAGGTGACGTTGTTGTCGAGATCCAGAAATCAACCCAGATCGCTAGTATATAATAACTGTAAGTTATACCTTCATCTCTTAGTCTTTCGAGATCAGACAGCGTTACGAGTTCTTCTTCCATGGCCCGTGTTTTCTCAGGTAACATATGTAATTCGGTCACAAGACGCTCTCGAGTAGCTTCTGCCTATAATTAGTGAACACACCAATTGTTTAATAATGTAATTTACCTTTTCTACTTGTTCCTTTCGTTACAAACATAGGGTTTACAAGTAAGTTATTTATTTTATTATATAACGCTAGGAGAAGTTCGGAAAGTGTTTTTATAGATTAAAATAAACAGTGGGATTTTCTCCTGTATCGTGTAGGCAGTTTACATGCATAAATTTCACAAGGACAAACAAGCAGACCCAGAGTGCGGGATTCGAACTCCTGACCCTTAGCGCAATAACACATTGCTAAGCCACTGCACCACAGAGCCGTCAAAGGTTTTGCAAAATTAAAAATCTTTGGCAATATTAAATTTTCACCAGTGTCATTCAACCTAACTATTGACAATCAAAATATTGCTTCATAGTGTAATATTTCCTAATATTTAACAGTAAATACATACTTTTTTCAGGTTAGCTTGAAATCTTTCGTAATCTTTCATTAACGTATCCACAGTTTTCTTACTCTCGTCATATGCAAATGTATATCCTTCCTTTCTCTTTAGCGAGTCTATTTCGCTTAAATCTAAATCGATATTGGAGCTGCTGTGTTCTAGAGCGAAAACTATATCTTTCTCTAGTTGTTCTATTTTGTCTTTTTCTTTTGCAAGATTTTCTTCGTAGGTCGACATAAAAGCGTCCATGGTTTCTTCTCTCTTTTTCAATTCTCTGTATTTTTGGTGACGTTCGGAATTACCTTCTTCGAGATCCTGAATCACATATACAAACGTAAATATACTGCACGAAAGTCTACATTACATAAACCTAGTAAAAGTCAATTATAAATGCTTTCGTTTACCTGTTCTGCTTGTTCTATTAGTTCCTGCACTTTCTTGATTTGCTCTTTTAAATTAGCAGCATTACTATCCAATGATGCAATAGCTGCATTATCTTCACGAACCTGCAACAATTGGTGGGAAGAAACTTGATGTTAGATTCACGATTCATGTAGAGTAATGAATCAATTCTATTTCACTCTAATATATTCCACTGCTAAATCGTCGTAAGCCTTTTTAAGTCCACTTCTAAACATATCTAGATACACACACCTTTTCAAAATAAGGCAGTAGGTATGCTTTTTAGAAAGAGTTATATAGTGTTTGTATATTGTGTACCTGTTGTAACAGCTTCTCTCTCTCTTCTTGAGGATCCAATCGATTGTTAATTTCATTCTTCAGACTATCACGCTTCTCTTCTGCTGCTGCTAATCGTTTGTGCAATTCCAGCAAGTGTACCTTTATCTGCGGCATAGTTGTAATTTTAAAATAGATCTAAGCTTCAAGTCTTTATATAGGTGGTATTTTAGAGGCGCCTACTTTTTTCCCAATTTTTACGATTTTCCCAATTTTTGACGATTAAGCCTCTAAATACAAGTGGAAAAATTAAAAAAAAAATTGTACAAACAACTTCAATATAAATAGAATGAGAACATCATCAATGTAGTCGAAGTCAATTAAATACGCATTATTAAGTATAACACAAAAACTACTGGTCAGAACTTGATCAAATTTATATGGCACCACATAAAAAGCACCAGCTTTCAAATAATCATCAAAATCGGTTCACCTGGAAAAAAGTTCTGAGGTAACACACATAAAAAAATACAGTCGAATCGAGTACATCCTCCTTTTTTTTGAAATCGGTTAAAAATCGAAATAATGTGTAGACAACGTATAATATCGATGGTTACTGTAGATCGTTTTTTCGACGAAGAGACCAACGAACATTTGTTGTGGATCGACACATGCGAACACGTGCGCAAGTGTTATAACAATTTGCGGCAGCAATAAATTATGGAGTGTTTTTTTTTTATAGAACTAGGGTGATAAACGAGCTCACAGTCCACCTGATTTTAAGTGAAAGCTATGGCCCATAGACATCTACATTTATCCTCGATTAAGAATCAAAATACAGATGCGTTACCACCCCTGAGGACTAAGATGGAATGCCTCGTGTCCAGTAAAAGGGGTCTCCGGTTCTCTATACTCACCATACGAAACAGCAACATTTATTTGCTATTTTACGCTGGTATTATGTGAGAGCGTGGTCCTAATGTAGCTTCCACTTAAAAAAGTGTTATCAGGTGAATCTAACGATCGACAACTTCGAGCAAATCTGAGGATTACAAATGAGCACACAGTCCATCTGATGTTATGTGGATGTTGTGACCCATAGTCAAATGCATTACCTACGGCTAAGTCAGACAAAATTTAAATGCCTTGCCACCACAGAGGTCTGAGATCGAATGCCCTGTTATCAGTAAAGGTTCTACGGTTTACTAAACACGAAACACCGTCAGCATCTTGCTCTTTTTCGCTGGTATTTTGTGAGGGAGTGCTACAGTAAATAGTTTACGTAGTAGAGGCACGCTGCAGCTATATTATGGTTGTAGTACAAATGGGTCGGTTCGACCGGGGTAGGACCACGCTTTCACAGAAATCCATCGTAAAATAGCAGCTCAATACTGCTGTGTTTCTTATGGTAAGTGTAGAGAATTGGAAACCCTTCTTAACGATGCATTCTATCATAATGAAAACGCATCTGCATTTTGATTCTTAATCGAGAATAAATGTAGATGTCTATGGTGCATACGCGCCACCCACATTGTGCCGCAGATGTGGACAGATGACACTGTAGCATCTTGCTCGAAGGTGCCCGTGTGAAACGATGGGTGCCCCATAATTTGCCATGCGGGATCCGCCGGAGGAGGATTTGTAGAAAATTGTTTATTAGCATCCACTTACCATCAGGCGAACTGTGTGCTCGTTTGTCACCCTTATTCTATAAAAAAAAGTTACTTAGTGTGACTGTGTGTATTAGGTAGCTACAGCTGGTGTTCGCGTCTACCGTCTATCGTACCGTATCGTACCTATACGTTAAAAGGTAAACCGGGGTACGTTGTACCGTTTCATCGAAACGGTTCACATAAAAATATAAATAAAACGTTCAGTTACCACGTATTATATATATTATTGTCTTTTATGACCTAGTTATATATAGCTATAGGCTCAGCTGCATGATATATCAATGTGTGGCAGTGGCTACTTACCGTTATAAAAATTGATAGAAAATTTAAAAATATATACATACTTGTGATACAGAGATCTCTTTATTAAATTCTTCTTTTTCCCTATTAAGGTGGTCGATTTGTGTCCTAGCTTGTTCTACTTCTTCTCTTAAGGCAGCAGCAGTAGCCTCTAGTTCGTTATATTGTTCTCTTTGGTCTGCTGACATTTCTGACAAAAGTTGCGATATTGTTGATTGCTCCTGTAATTATATGTATATAGATTAGGACTAATAATTAAAAATTTCAGGTAGTAACGTAACCACGTAAATAAATACTCCAACTCATGTATAAAAGTAAAAAGAACATATAAATTACTCTATGCAAATTAAGGTTTTACAAATATTAATAAGGAACTAATACTAGTGATTTCTAGGACATCGATTGATTATAAATTGTGTTTATTATTAAAGATTTAGTAAAGTAAATGTAATGAGCCGTGGCCCACGACAATTTTAAAAATATTTTTATAAGCTCAACGGAGATGAGTTGTTAATATATAAGTAATATCTAACTATTAAATTTAAAGCACCCATGGTCACGGGGGGGGGGGGGACTGAGGTGTTTGACTTGAAGTTACCAAGGACGATTCTCAAGGCTATTGAAATTAAAATAAACCCTAATTCCAAAAGAGAAATTGGATGGGTGCTGCCATCTGCTTGGGATCCTATCTATTGAAGTGATGTTCATGTCAACGTCAATGTCACACGTTTTTCGCTAATTTTTTCCGAAAAATATTATTTATTTGTGTTGTTGGAATTATAATAAATAAATAATTTGTACATACAACTTTATAACCGTCATCTCGGCAGTAAAACTACGTTAACGAAGATCTTCTCCTACGCATCAAGACTAAATTGTTGTATGCTGATACGAGTCGCCTTGTGAGTAAATAAAATATCATACTACTACTTCTCATACCTTAGTTATTAAAACGGAATACATATTTATAAATAATAAAATAAAATAAAAACCCTCAAACTAAATCATGATACGACGCTCACCTCCTAATGCTCCGGCATCGCCCTGCTATACCTCTGAACCGAATTTAACATCCTCCTCTAATAATGAAAACTTAAACATAACGCAGAGGAAAAGAAAACGTGAGTCGGATGAATTAAGACGTATGGAAAAAATGATGATAGAGATGAAAACCATGTTTGAGGAGTTCGTATCGAACCAAACTCAACAAAATAATAAAATGGATACCCTGCAAACGGCACTTGAAGATATTCGAACTCAAAATGCAAAAATTAGTATTCTAAATTCAGAAATCCGTGCCCAAAACGAAGAAACCCAGAAGACCGTGTCATTTTTGTCGGAAAAATATGATGAGGCGGTGCTTGAGATTAATAATTTAAAAGCAGAGTGTAACAAAAATCAGCAGATCATAAAAACATTGGAAAATAAGGTAGACATCTTGGAAAAAAATTTGAGAGCATCGTCACTTGAAATAAAAAATATACCATTACAATGTCCTGAAACCCGTGAAACCCTAATTAGCACAGTCCAAAAACTAGGCAGTATTATTAATCATTCCGTACTGGAAACGGATATTACAAATATTTTTCGTTTAAAGAGTAAGACTGAATCAGTGGGTACAGTTATTGTGGAATTCTCGTCCACGGCGGCAAAGGAACAGTTTTTGAAGTCAACTAAAAACTATAATAAACATAACAAGGAAAATCGTCTTAACACAACCCACTTGCACGAAAAAGGACCTAAGCATTTCCTATACGTATCTGAGGTCCTCACCGCCATGACAAAGAGACTTTACTACCTTGCACGAGAGTTTATTAAGACTAGTGAATACGAACAATGTTGGACAGCCAATGGTAAGGTGTACATACGCAAAAAAGAAGGGATGCCCAGTCGACTTATCAAATCAGAAGATGATCTAATTCAACTACGAAGACAAAAGTGACTAGATTGCGTTATTTTATCTTCCATATTGTTCAAAAGTATTATATTATTCTTGTTGCATGTTTATAGCATTAATTTAAAAAACTGTATTAATAACCAACATTATTTAATATACATACGATATCCTACAAAACACACAAATACTACACTAACAAATACATATATACAATATATACAACTAATTTTATTAACTAAGAATACACATACAGTGTGCAATACGGGAATGTATACTATATACTATCAGCTTCCTCTCTGTACCACTTTTGGCGACCAATTAATTGTCATTATCAACTTAGTCCTATTAAATGTCACTTACAAAAATGTAACTATGAAAAACAAACACAATAAAATTCGATAATATACTAAATAACACAAACAACATAGATTCTGTCTCAGTGTCGGATTCATCTACCTGTGATTTAGACAACTGTATCCCATTTAATTTCAACCCCAAGCAATCACTCAAAATACTTAATCAAAATATTTGAAGTATTTCAAAAAATATGATAGGTTTCTATACCATACTCGCTAGGACTAAGGTCGATTGGGACATCATCACATTAACCGAATGTTGGCTTCCCAATACACATAATATTCCTGACCTAACAGGTTATAAATACTTTAAGACTACTAACAATCTAACACAAAATGAGGGAGTAGTTGTATACATACATGAAAACCTACAGTTTTTTGTAGAGGAACCGTCATTTTTAGATGCAAATTGTCTCCAAATAAAAATAAACTATAATACCATCCTGTTAGCAATATATCGACCACCAAGTTATAGAGATATCACTAACTTCCTGCATTCGCTTGACATAATCCTGACTAATATCACACATTATAGCAATATAATAATAACCGGGGACATAAATATTAACATCCAGGAACAATGCCATGACACAAACAAACTTAATTATTTAAATTTATTAGCATCACACGGCCTGCTGCCTGCACATTTTTTACCCACTAGACAAAATGCATGTCTCGATCATTTTGTCCTTAAAACTCTATTGCCTGCTTCAACATTAGTAGCCCACTCAGCACTAACTGATCATGAAACCGTGTTATTATTTCTCGCAAGCAAAATGCCCAAAATCACGATTAAAAAAACAACGACGCGCATTAACTATGATCAGTTGACTGACGACATAAAATTAATCGACTTTAGTGAAGTATATAATACCGAAGATCCTCACGTAGCAGCAGATTTAATGATAAGTCTTATCAAACAAGCGGTCCAAAAAAACACAAAAACCGTGAAAGTACCAAACCGTAAAAAAATCATTAAGCCATGGATCACTCCAGGTCTCTTACGCTGTATCCGACACAGAGACAATATGCACAAAAAATTAAAAAAGTCGCCAGACAATGAAGTATTAAAAACATCTTTTACTAGGTACAGAAATTATTGTAATAAGTTGTTAAAAAAAATTAAATTGGAATATGAAAAAAATGAATTAAAAAAGACTAGTAATAATCCTAAAAAACTCTGGGGAGCAATAAATAACATAACAAATAGGGCAAAAAAGAAAGAAAATTCATCCTATCACTTATTAACCACATCATCCACTCCGGAACTATCTGTTAATTCAGTTAATGAATTTTTCGCTAATATAGGTAAAAATCTCGCGGAAAAGATATCGGATGGACTTACAGAGTCAATAAAAAAAGGTTTTAACAACAACAATAACAACAACTCTCACTCCATGGTATTGTTACCAACGGATGAGGACGAGGTTGCAAGATTAATATTATCTCTCCGTAATGACTGTGCTGTGGGTTGGGATGGAATACCCTCTAATCTCCTTAAAAGGCATATTAATGTAGTTGTCCCACCCCTGACATATATCTGCAATCTGGCTCTCACAACCGGAAAATTTCCTAAAGCTTTTAAAAAATCGATCATACACCCGATTTATAAGGGTGGGGACAGAGACCATGTCAATAATTATAGACCTATAGCTGTGCTGCCTGCCTTGTCCAAAATACTCGAACGCATAATAAACAACAGGCTCGTAAACTACTTGGAAAAACATAACTTTCTTTCGCCCTCACAATATGGTTTTAGGTCAGGTAAATCTGCCTCGGATGCGATTCATGACCTTACTAATTATATTGTTACAAACTTGGACAATGGGCAGAAGGTTCTTGGCATATTTCTAGATCTCGCCAAAGCTTTCGACACGGTTTCTGTACCCATACTTTTACGTAAGATGGAGAGTTTGGGAATTAGAGGTATACAACTGCAACTTTTTGAAGACTACTTGAGTGGACGTACTCAGTGCGTTCAGGTGGATAAATTCATCAGTACTGAACGCACAATTACCTATGGTACGCCTCAGGGCAGTGTACTCTCTCCAACCTTATTTCTAATATATATTAATGAAATGAGTATGCTCACTCTTCCTAAAGGGCGGATAATAAGTTATGCAGATGATACCGTCCTCCTATTTAACGCAGGTTCATGGCAAGATGTCTATACGTACGCCCAGCTGGGCTACAACACAGTCTCTAACTGGCTCCGAAGTAATGTGCTGACACTCAACATAGATAAAACATGTTATGTTGCATTTAGATTAAAAAACAACACATTAACAACATTATCACCACCATACTCTATCGTAAGTCACTCATGTTCCAACTCACTTAATAACGCGGATACCTGCATCAAACTATGTCAAGCTGAAAAAGTAAAATATCTAGGAGTAATAATTGATAGCACTCTACGTTTTCATGAACACATTAATACCCTTAATAGCAGGTTGCGTAAACTTATATATGTTTTTAAAACTCTGAGAGATGTGGCTGACGAGAAACTAAAGAAATCCGTCTACTTCGCCTTGGCCCAATCTCTGTTAACATATGGTATTACCTCCTGGGGCGGTGCTCCAAAAACTAAAATGCTTCAATTGGAGAGAACGCAGAGAGCCATCTTAAAGGTCTCTTTTTCACTGCCGTATCGCTATCCTACAGAGCTCCTATATAAAGAGTTGAAAATTTTAACTGTGCGGCAACTGTTTATACAAAGTACCTTACTAAAACAACATGCTTTATTAAAATACAACCCCTCACTCTCCCGAGATAAAAGGCGTTTTAACCCCGTGGACCGCTATCATATAACTCTATCCACCAAATTATCTAAACGTTTCTTTTGTCACCTTGGAGGTTTCTTATACAATAAAATCAATAAAATTATCCCTATATTTAACCTTAACAAAACTATATGCAAAAAGAAAATAACTATCTGGCTCCAAGAACTAAATTATTATGACACTGAACAACTACTTACTAATTCTATCTAATTACTAATCTAATAAAAGTTAATTACTAACCCAGTCACAAACTAACAAACAAAAGCATGCACACACACACACACACACACACACACACACACACACACACACACACACACACACACACACACACACACACACACACACACACACACACACACACACACACACACACACACACACACACACACTAATACTAGTTAATATATGTAGAATCCTAAGTAAATGAAAGGAGATATTATGTAAATTATAAATATGGTACATGTACGAGTGCATAATAAAAGTATTGTAATTAGAACCATAGGGCGGAGACCTGGCGTCCTGAAATACAGGCGTAAAGCCTAGCTTAGGCACCAGTCTCCCACAGTATATTATTGAGGCTATACTATAATATTATGTACAATAATTCTGTATTGTGGTGAGAAAATAAAATAAATTATTATTATTATTATTATACAAATAAATAAAATTGAAGTGTTTGTTTGTAATGTCGAAATAACAGCTTTTTATTATGCCTAAGCCTATGAAAGTATATACGATACTAATAACAAAAATACAATTTTTAAAGCTTTTGTCTGTGTGTCTGTCTTTCTTTCTGTCTATCTGTCTGTATGTTCCGGCTAATTTCCGAAACGGCTGGACCGATTTTGACCGGACTTTCACTGACACATAGCTGATGTAGAAGTAACTTAGGCTACTTTTATTTTAGAAAAAGAATTAGGGTTCCGCGCAAAAAAATTAAAACCCATGAAATCCAATCGTAATAAATTACGCGCGGGAAGTCGCGGGGAACAGCTAGTAATTAATAAAATTAAAACCAAACCCAAGCATACCACTGTAAGACTTCAAAATACTATAAGCTCATTCTGCGTAGATCGGACCAAAAACTAATCAAATCAAAAAATCAAATTCTTCGCCTTTTATTAAATGCTAATGCAACACGTGCACCAAAATCAAAATCAAAATCCCATTCTGACGAGCTGTCTCTTCTGAGAATCAATATACGCCAATTTATTGTAGGTAACACGCTTGTAGTAAGTAGTAGTATGTAGTACTATGTCTAATAAGGGTTACAAATTGTCTAGTAAGGGTTATTATACTACTAAAGAGTACATCACTGATAATAACCCCTGGGAATGAGGTGATCGCTACCATGCTGTTTCTAATTGTTTTCATAATAATTGTATAAAATATTATATTGTAAATTGGGCTTTTTAAAAAAAAAGTCCCGCTGGGTTTCTTGCTGGTTCTTCCCAGGACAGAGTTTTTTTTGCGAACCAGTGGTAAAAGTAAAAAATGACTTTCAATAAGTATTATGTACTATTCGGGACCAGCTACCAATTTATATTTAAGTCAAGAAAGAAAAGCGCATAGGGAAGTGATAGGAAATAGTGAGAGTGAACAATTGCACTCTTATGGGGAAATTTATAACATAATATCTGTTTTATTCCTAAAGAATCTTCCACCACCTATTGAATAATATGTATACAGTCCACCGAAGTTGACATAAGGAGATGTCGAGACCGGTACCACTATAATAGGACCCGTAACCATAGTCGTCAGAACTTTCTTTTAAGAAACCGCATCAGACGCTCTTGTGTGATACTCCTTCGCGGGGTTCGTATCCGCCTCGTTGTCCTCGAACCCAATGTGGTGTGATTAAGAGTTTCTGGATAAAACGTCTATAGTGACTAATCCCTGTCTGATGCGAACATTTCAGTTTTGGTCTATAAAGAATAAAAATGATTCTATTCTATTCTATGATAATATGTATAGGATATTTATAATTGGACTTTTAAAGATTTTATCTGTTCTTATATTATAACTCTTAAAAAATTTACCTTATCCATCTGTTCCCTCAATTGCCTTAATTGATTTTCCTTTCTCTGTTTTTCCAAAAACACCTGTTCAACATCCTCTTGCATCTTTTTGTTGTTTATTTCCAATTCTCTTGTTTGTTCTTCTACCGATTGTATTGTAGCTTCGCCATTAGCTATGCGAATCGCTGTGTTATAATCTGCTAGTCTTCCTTGTAAATCTAAAAGTGTATACATTGTTATAACAATAAACAGCGCATTTCTTCTATAGTCTAATTGCTGAGTTGACTAATCTTATCTTTTTAATAATAATATTTCACTAGGTGGTAGGACCCCTTTTTCGTTTAGAAGTCCGCCTGGGTAGATACCACCATCTTATGTATATATTATGTCTGCCGCCAAATGCTTGTACTACTCTGTTTCGGTTTGAAGATTATAGAGAATTAGTAAGATTACAGGCTGTCAGGAATTCCATCTTAGACTTCTGAAACGACAACTCATCTCACCTAGGCTAATCTAGGCAACTTCGTTTAATGTTGGCTGGGTATCTGTGTATTGCAGTTGCCACTTACCATCATGTCAGCTGTAAGATCGCAAAGTTTTAGTTTTATAAAAAAACCAGCTGTACCCCGCGACTTCGCCCGCGTGGAATTTCTACGATTTCATGGGTATTAATTTTTTGGGCGGAACCCTAATTGTTTTTTCTTTTTCTAAAATAAAAGTATTCTAAGTAACTCTTTATAACATCAGCTATCTACCAGAGAAAGTCCCGTCAAAATCGGTCCAGTCCTTTCGGAGATTAGCCAGAACAAACAGATAGACAAAAATTTGAAAATTGTTTATTATTATTAGTACCGTATATACTTTCATATGCATTTAGTGAAAAGCAGTTATTTTAACATTACAAACAGACACTTAAATTTTATTTATTTGTCGTTATCCATTTTAAAAAATAAAATTTAGTCATCTTTTATATTACATCAGAACTGTTGGTAAACGCCAAAAACTGGACTTATATTCAATTCTGAAGGGTATATTTTCACATTAGATGGCTGATGTCAATTTAGCTTACATATTGTCACGGCGTCCAAACAATCGGAAGTTATCTATATAATAAATGTACGCATGAACGCAGAGGCAATCATCCGTGCCGACTCATTTGTTTTCGATGTAACGCCTATTAGATTAGAACGGCGGTAAGCTATACAATATGAAAGGGAGATAATCACAACGTAATCAGACTTGAAAACCAATAAATTTGTTTGTATTAATCGAGAGCTCCGCTTGTTAATCAAAAAGCTAACGTTAACATTAATCTAGGAGAGACTTGTATATATAGTAGAAAAGTGTTTTTCGAGCAGTGTAAAAATATCACGACATATACTATTGAATCGCACCCGCGCGAATTCAGGTTAATCGTTACTAAAATAATAAAGATAATAGAAATAATAAAGATTTAATACGTGGTAGAGCCATGCTGCAGCTATATTATAGTATACACGTGCTACAACTGTAGCACGAATGGGTCGGCTCGACCGGGGGAGGACCACGCTCTCACAGAATACCAGCGTAAAATAGCAACTTAACGCTATACGTATGGTGAGTGTAGAGAACCGGAGATCCTTTTTACTGGAAACGAGGCATTCCATCTTAAAGGATAGATGTAGATAGATGACTATGGGCCACAGCAACCACTTACCATCAGGTGGACTGTGTGCTCGTTTGTCTCCCTATCCTATAAAAAAAGAGACAAATACCGAGTGGCGTTGCATTAAAATAACGGTTTCATTAAACTTTCGATACTAACAGATAAGAAGCTATGGTTGAACGAATAGCATGGAAGTAGGAAGTAAATAATTATGTAGAGTTGTAGATACGTAGTAACATTGACTCCTAAAATTGATGTTAAATGCTAATGGAATCGGACTAGGACGAAGCTCAAAAAGAGGTTAAAAATTTGGGCTGGAATATATGTACAGGTGGACATAGAAACGAACGTACATTATAGTGTGTAGTGTATGTCTGTTTCTATGTCCACCTGTATCTTCAAAGTTGCCTGCCGCCTGTACCTTCTAAACTAGTCGCAAATTTTCACATATGATACGTCAAAAGATTTGTAATAATTGCGCGGATAACACAAACTATATTTCAGTTTATATTATAATATTTATTTAAAGTGAACATAGCGGAAATTAAACATCAAAACCTTGTGGCCTAAAACATAATGTATCGTGTATATCACGTAAGTATCACAGGAATTATTAACGAATACATTTTTTAGAACACGCTTTATTTTAAATTGTTGCAACTATTGTTGCATCTCCCTTGAGTCAACAGTGCGACAGTTCCAGCTTTGAGCCACCCACCCATATAATATACCCACCCTCCTACTCTTTCTTAAAAGGGCATATATATATATATATATATATATATATATATATATATATATATATATATACAATATGTAAAAGAAACTAATTACGTGTAGGTTTGAACTGCAGCAGTATTTTGGTTGCAACAGAATGGGTCGACTAGACAGGAGAAAGAATACTCTCTTACATCAGACGGAATGTGAGAGGGGGATCCTTTTCTAGTGACCCTCTTAATGTAGTAAGTATTATTTAAAAATATTTCAAGTTATTCAGTTACTCATTCTTAATATATCCTGCAGCCTATTAAATAAAAACCGGCCAAGTGCGAGTCGGATTCACGCATGTAGGATTCCGTACCGTTTCTAGTAGATGAGCCCCCTTTAATTTTTAATTTATTATTTGTTATTATGGCGGCAACAAAAATACTCATTCTGTGAAAATTTCAACTGTCTACCTATTACGGATCATGGGATACAGTCCGCTGACAGACAGACGGGCGGACGGACGGACGAACGGACAGCGGATGCTTAGTAATAGGGTTCCGTTGGTTACCCTATGGGTACGGAAACCTAAAAAGGATGCAAGAAAACAAACTACTTCGAATCTAACTAAATAAATAGAAACCTAAAGTTAATTAATCAAAAGAGCCTTTTTCTTAGAAAAGTATTATTTTATATGCAGCACGAATGGATCGACTCGACCGAACAAGTGTCACTATCTCATGTAAAAAAGGAGCTTGATGTTTTTGTGTTACGAGAGAGAGTGAGCTTAGAGAATCAGTGACTCATTTTACTGTTAACGAGGCGTTCCATGTTAAAACCCAGGAGTGAAACCGCATCTGCAATCCTTAATCGAAGATAAGATCTACGTATCTACGGACAACAGTATCCATTTACCACCCAGTAGACTGTTTAGCTTGTTACCCTTATTCTACAAAAAAAAAACTTAAAGTAAAGAAGGGTGTACGCACATATTATGAAGTTATACTTCTTTAGCGTAACAAAACAAAAATAACTAAAATAAAACACGTTTTGTAGATTCATATATATTTGAATAACTACCTTGAATATAGTTATCAGTTCTCACGAAAACTTGACAGTAGACAGACAATTACCAACTGAAGTTGTCGCTTTTAGGTTTCGGTGTGCGTGCACATCGTAACAACTTCATGCTGCGTTTTTAGGTATCGGTGTGCGCGCGCATCTTAAAAAATTCACTCTTATAATTTTTATCAAACGCTCTAAAAGAAGTATAACATCAAAAAATTTACCTGTTAATTCCTGTGCAAGTTCTCTGACTCTCTTTTCGTAGTGTTTTTTCGCAGATCGCTCTCTTTCACCGGACTCTACTTGTTCGTTTAAACGAGCAATCTCCGCTTTCATCTCGCGAACTTTCACGTGCATTAACTCTTCCCAGTATCGTTTATCTTGTAACTGCCTAGTCCGGAATCCCCTAGCTGTTCCTGTCCGAAGGCCCGATATGCCTTGTTGTGTGATCGGTCTATCAATCTAAAGAGAAATGAAAAGTTTAACAAATTTATTAATGCTACCTTTTTCGTATAAATGATAAAATACACCGTTAACTTATAATCGTAGTAATGAAAAATAATAATAATTATTGCATTAGATAATAACAATAGCCATGTAGACGGCAAGAATATCAACTACCCCTACCATCTGGGTGTCGTAAAAGGCGAAACGGGCAAAATGAGCCAGGAGCTGGGCTCCAGCAAGCCAAGCGTGGCTACTATCTCCCTTATAAGGCAATCTATGGGGAAGACCTTAGTAAACAGTAAACTTTTGATAATTGTAATGATAATGATGATGATGATTGAACAACAAAGGACTGAGAAAAAGAGGATGTTCTTCTCAGAAATAAGTAAAAGGTACCAATAAATATTAGGGCATATTCCGGAAGTATTAGGGTAATGGATTTCCTCACACCGCTACCGCCCGGCAATCAATCTATTATTTAACTGTAAATGTATTTTATTTATTTATTTAAAAAAAATACTAGTAATGCTATTAAACATTACTCTAATATTCCCTTTAACCACTTCTGGTAAGCTAAAAATGCTTGAGTTAGAAGTTGTTCACGACAGTAGTCGAATGACGGATTCGAACCCACGATCTTTCTAGTTCGCGGTCTGCGCCCTGCCATTAGGCTACTGATGCTTTACTCAATGGTGTCAACAAGTGGTAAAATTAAATATTTTATACAACCGACTTCAATATAAATGTAATTTATTGTTGATTTTTCAAAAACCACTCGATCGATTTCGATAAAATACAAATGGTCCCATTTGTGACCCACCTGGGACCACCTTTAAAACAAAAAAAAAATCCTAATCGGTTCAGGCGTCTTCGAGTAATCGGTGAACATACATAAAAAAAATTCTGACGAATTGTAAACCTCCCCCTTTTTGAAGTCGTTTGAAAAGAAAGTAATTTAATTGATCTCTTTATCTTTTTTCCTTGATTATAGCATTGGCAAAAACATGTAATCAAAAATCACTTAGTAAAACCTGTTATACTGCAGGTATCTATTATTACTTCAAAAATGTTCACAAAATACCATAACTGTGTGCTGTGATGACAACTCACGCGCATAGTGATGACAATATCCAAAGTTGCTAAAACGGAAAAAATATCTTAAACTTTTATTTTTATCACTATCAAAGCCTTGCTGTTGACATCCCTTTGCTGTCGACATATTACGCATCCGAACCATGGTTTACGTTGTCGTTCATGATGAAAAGAGTGAAATAATTTGCCTGTATCTTTTTTGTATCCAAACACATTTGGGTTTCTTCAACGCAAGAGTGAATAGGCTTTTGTTAAAATAAGTCCTTATGTTTTATTTTCGGATGCATCACCATTTACCATATCAGGTGGGATAGTTAGTCAAGCACTAGCTAATAATAGTTTAATTTTTTTTTATAGAGTAAGAGTGATAATTGATCACAAAGTTCACCTGATGGTAAGTGGATGCTGTGGTCCATAGACATCTACATTTAGTCTAGATTAAGAATCAAAATGCAGATACATTTTCACCCCTGAGGACTGAGATGGAACGCCTCGTTTCCAATAAAACAGGTCTCCGGTTCTCTACACTCACCATACGAAACACAACAGCATTAAGCTGCTATTTTACGCTGGTATTCTGTCAGAGCGTAGTCCTACTACATCAGGCCGACGCATTCGTGCTACAACCATAACATAGCTGCAGCGTGGCTCTACCACGTTAAAACGTTACGAATTCATGTTGTTCTCATTTGGCACACAAATCGCGTCACTTTTACGTATCAAAATGTACTTCAAACCATTATTTAAACGACAATACAGAGACAGCAATGCGTTTACAGTTAAGTTCCTGTAAACATTTCCCCTTCATTTGCCGATGACCCATTGTACTCAATTTAAAAACTGCCGAAATTAAAATATGTAGATTAGTAGTGTGATTACAAATGCGTGTACCTAGCCTTGTGACTTTCAGTCTGTACATTGCCGGTCATGGTTCTAGATTTATGAAGAACTAATGAAGAAGAAGAGGAAAAAGGATAAGAATAGGTAATTCTAAATTTAACTAGATATAATTTTTACCATAGAGAAGCCAGTCATCGTTGCTGTAGGCTGCCTGCTGGCAGTCAGCGGAGCTGGTCCGAAACCTGCCGTTGACAGTCTTGAAGCTGTGCTCCCTCGATATGCTGAAGTGGGTCTCATACTGCCGCTTCTGTATTTAATATATTCTTTAATCTATTTAAATATATTTAAGCGCTCTGTGCAATGAGTTATGATATTTTTTTGGTTCTCTGTAGTAGAACTCCTAGGACTCCGTGTGGGTAGCCTCTTACCTATTTCTGTCACCAAATAGCAGTGTTTGCACTGCTGTGTTTCGGTGCGAAGGATACAGAGAGTAAGTAAAAATTACAGGCTGTGACGCATTACATAACAGTCAGTTTTATAAAAAAGTAACACTATTACTAGTTTAAAATGTAGCATTGTCATGACATGAACGTAAGTAACAGTGATGGATGTAGTTCCTTTAGACTTACTATCGATTCCTTCTATAGTAAATCCTACTAATATTATAAACGTAAAAGTTTGTGAGGATGTATGGATGTTTGTTAGTCTTTCACGCAAAAACTAATAAATGGATTTTAATGAAACTTTACATTTATATAGCTTATACATAACAATAACGCATAAGCTATAAGTAATAAAGATATTATATAAATTGGCCGAAATATAACGATAAGTGTTAAGTAAGTCGGAAAAAAGCACGACGTCTGTCTGAACACGCATCACGCACAAACCTGTGTAGCGATTTACATGGGACTTTCACTAGCAGATAGCTGATGTTATAAGGACTAACTAAGGCTTCTTTTATTTTAGGTTTGAAGTAGCGGGGAACAGCTAGTATCAAAATAAAAATGCAATTGTTATTGATCAAAGAAGTAATATTTATGTCCCTTATAATATAATAATTTATAATTAGTTTATAAAAATAATAAGCATAGTAAAATGAAAGATTTCTCGCTCATAAATAAATAAATAGGTGCCACAACTAAAACCAATATTTCTTTATCCTCATAAGTTTTTTTAAAGATATACCATAAAACTAATGTCATCCAGACCGAATCACAATCACGACGGTCAGCCTCAACGGTGACTTACGTAGGCTAGCATCTGCGTAGAACAGGATAATAGTACCCTAGTGTATGCGCATGCACATGTGCATTCTCTATTCCCTCACTCTCATACTCCGATGGGACGGCTATCCGACACGACCGTGCTTTTCGAGGCACGGGAGTATAATACCTTCAACTTCCTTACTCCTGGCTACTACTGAGAATTTCTTGACAAAAAACACTCAATAAGTGATTTTTGGTCCAAACTGGGAATTAAACCAGGAGCCGCATGATAACCCACTAAATCAACTAGGCAGTCTCATTTTAACTGACGTAAAACTACGCATTAAGACATTGTGCAATGTGGTCTAATCATGTTCTAATCTATTACTGCTACATAAGCTAACTATATAGTTTTTTCAATAATTTCTCTCCTATGTTATATGAAAACTTTTTTTTTCATTTAATAGTTCAAACAACACAAAACAACCAATCGTTTTCGTAGCCTTGCGGCAGTTAATTCTGGTTTAATTCAATTGCATCTGATTCTGCGCCAGTCTAAATTATTTTGAAAAACTGTTCGATGTGTGAATTAATATATAATGAAATTTATTAATATTTATATCACTAACCTGGACATAGCTGATCCGTTATTTGTATATTCTCGATATCCTCTTCTTGAAACTGGCCGCGGAGCCTCGGGCCGTCTGACCGCGCTTGCTCTGTCCACAGAACTGCTATCAGGAAAATCCATAACGGACTCTTTACTGATATTTTTTACCGTATAAGAGGGTAAAATTAATTAAATAACGGAGCTGATTGTCACGCGCAATAACTTTGTTGTTAAGGCGTCGCCATGGCTACGAAAAAGGAGAACCAAAGAGTATACAAACCACGCGCAAGGTTTGGCGGTTTGGGTAAACGCAGTGATTATATTTATATATAAAAATTACGTGTCACGTTGTTTGTCCGCGATGAACTCCTAAACTACTGAACTGAGTTCAATTAAATTTTGCACACTGTGTGCAGTTTGGTCCAACTTGAGAGATAGGATAGTTTATATATAAATATATATATGTATATATATATATATATATATATATATATATATATATATATATATATATATATAAAATGTAATAGCACCTTATATAAAATATAAAATATATAATAGCACTTATCTAGCCACTATATTTAATACAAGCGTCGAATCTGGTGTGTTTCCTGATTCAATTAATCATAGTAAAGTCATACCTATATTTAAATCTGGTAGTACATTAGACCTCGCCAATTTTAGACCAATTTCTGTACTACCAACATTTAGTAAAGTTTTTGAAAAAATTATTTTAGATCAGATATAAAGTTTCTTTAATATTAATAAATTGCTACATAAAAATCAATTCGGTTTTACAAGGGGTCGCTCGATAACTGACGCTGGAGTTGAGCTTATTGAACATATTTTTTGTGCATGGGAGAATTCAGAGGATGCTTTGGGTATATTTTGTGACCTTTCCAAGGCCTTCGACTGTGTTCACCATGAGACATTAATCAGGAAGCTACAGTACTATGGTGTCAAGAACACAGCGCTTAAATTTATTATCTCATATAAAAAGAGAAAGCAGAAGGTTATTATCAATGGTAAAAGTTCTTCCGGGTCACCTGTACTAATGGTTGTCGCTCAGGGCTTGATTCTCGGCCCATTCCTGTTTTTGGTGTATATTAATGACTTACTTTACCTTGTAGGGGATAGTCATGATATAGTATTATTTGCTGATGATACTTCCTTGATTTTTAAACTTAAACGTCAATCATTTAAATGTGACGAAATTAATATTGCTATATCAAAATTAGTGCATTGGTTTAACGTTAATAATCTGCATTTGAACGGAAATAAAACTAATTGTGTTAAATTTACAACAACGAATGTTAAAAATCTGAATACCAATGTTGTTTTTAAATGGGGAGGAACTGAACCCTGTTGTAACCATTGTTTTTCTTCAGTGGGGCCCCCATATATCCAAATTAGCAAGCAGACTAAGTTCTGCACTCTATGCTGTAAAAAAGATTAGAGGTCTCACTAGTGTCAAGACAGCTAGATTAGTTTATTTCAGTTATTTCCATAGCATAATGTCTTATGGGATTTTGCTATGGGGAAATGCGGCTGATTCAGAAACTATTTTTGTTTTACAGAAGAGGGCCATTAGAGCTATTTACAATCTAAAACCGAGAGAGTCTCTTAGAGATAAATTTAAAGAAATAAATATATTAACTTTGGCCTCTCAGTATATTTACGAAAATTTAATGTATGTTCACAAAAACAATGGTAGTTTTAGTAAAAAAGTGATATACATTCTGTAAACACTAGGAACAAACACAAGCTAGTTGATGCCAGTTTCTCGACTCCACAGAGTCAGTAATTTATTCTTGGGGCAATGTATACGCTATTACAACAAGGTCCCGGAAAGTGTACAAGCTCTCTCTATTACCAAGTTTAAATATTTTATTAAGCTGAATCTACATCCTATGTCCTATGTGTTTAACAAACATTTATTGACGACTTATAATAATACAATAAACAAAAAATACAACCAACTTAAATTCAAACGAGGATAAGTATTTTTTTTACAATAACATTGGCGTGGGTAAATAGTTTCATCAAGTTATTGCTCGAATATTTTTTTGTATCTTATAGTATGTTAAACCTGGTATTCACATATCATCATATTAAATAGCAAATTCTAAACAATATTTCATACATGGTTGTTTATCCCAGATTCACCATCGTTTTCTGTAAAACTATAGATGCGATCAAAAACATCACTTGTAAAAAAAATTAAGGCTCGCAACTCAGTTCTTCTACCGTGAAAGGTTGTGAGATCCATGTAGTACCAAGTCAGTTAATTTATTTCAATCCCTACTTAAGGGTTCTTCTGTCTCAAGTTATTACGTAATTAGCTAACCTAACAACATCTTACAGTGATGGTCACTGTAAGATGTTCACTGTAAGATCAATATTAAAAATCTTTTATGTTTTAAATAAATAGATTGACTTGGCCATCGCATGAAAACACAATGTCAGACGCCTGTCACCCAAAGGGGTAGGCAGAGACTACGGACTTCCATTTGGCGCGATCCTGACACACCTCTCTCGCCTCCTTTACATCCATATATTTACGCATACACGCTCGTCGGTTAAGGGTACTCCTAATCTGGCCCATTTTCAATGTATCGCCGATTTGGTCGATAAATCTTCGTCTAGGGCGTCCCTTCCCGACTTTGCGTTCAATTCTGAAACATAAATTTGCTTTGTCACTCTTTCATAAATTTCCATACTCTTTCTACGTGACCAAACCACCGAAGCATTCCTTTTTTAATCCTAGTTACAACGTCATTTTGAAAACTACACTTTTCTCTTATCACACTATTTCTCACCCTGTCATTCAGATTCAGCCTCAGCATACTCCCTGATGACCGCATTTCTACAGCCTTTATTCTACTCTCATGCTTCTTCTGCCATACATTAAAGTAGGGACTAACACACCATTATGAATTGCCATACGTGCCTTGTTTGACACATTCTGACTCTTCATAATAGCGTGTAGAGCCCCATTAACTCTATTTCCTGCGTTCACTCGCCGTTCTATATCCTTATCATATCTACCATCCCTGCTAAATAAACATCACAAATATACAAACTCATCCACTTGCTCAATCAACTCCCCTTCTATTCTTATTTCACATAACGTTTTACTTTCTTCTCTTTCAAAAACCACCACTTTCGTCTTACTTGCGTTCACTTTTATACCCCTTTCTTTTAATGACCAGGTCATTAAATTAACCATCATTTGCAACTCGGCCACCGATGTAAATATGACTTGATCATCGGCGTACAAAAGACATTTGCCGATTAACTCACCCATTCTCAACCCACATTCTCCAACTTTCAAAGTTTGCAAACAACTGTCCATAAATAGGTTAGACAGCCACGGAGAAGCTACACAACCCTGTCTGACACCTTTTTAAATGCCAAACCAGTCCGAGTAGGCCCCGTTGATCCTGACACAAGCACTAGAGTCCCTATAAAGAGACTTTAATGCCTGTATCAGACTAGCGCACAACCCAAATGAGGTCAGTGTTTGCCATAACACGTTCCTCTACACTCTGTCATAAGCCTCTTCCAAGACCATGAAAGCACAAAAAACTTTCTGGTTTTTGGCCAAAAATTTCTCCGCAATCATGCGCATGGAAAAGACTTAATCCGTACACCCCATTCCCTTTCTAAATCCAGCTTGCACATCCCAAAATTTTCCATCAGTTTCTTCCATAACTTTTTCAATTAACACCCTTAGCATGCAGTTTACCCACAATGCTAAGCAAGCTGATACCATGGTAGTTTTTACAGTCCTGCTGCGACCCCTTTCCCTTATATATTGGGACTATAACGGCTTTGCACCAGTCTTCCGGTACCCGCTTCAGTTTGCAACATAAATTAAACAAGGTGTACAGCAGGCCTGCAACCTCACTCTCTCCAGCCCTTAGCATTTCGAGTGATACTCGATCATATCCGGCTGCCTTACCCGCTTTCATGATTTTCATTGCTTTCATTATTTCATCTACACTTATCTCCCTACCTCTCTCCACTTCTTCCGGAATTTCTATTTCACTTACTTCAGACGACTCTTCACTCTTAAACACGCTTTCAAAGTATTCCTTCCATCTCTTTAAATTCGAAACTTCATCATTCAGCATGCAGCCATTCTCGTCTCGTATAGCATTCATTCTAGGCTGTTTTGAATTTCCCCTGGCAGTTCTTACGAGCTTCCAGAACATTTTAATATTTGCTTGGAAGTTATCAGATATTCTTCTATTATTCTTATCCTTCCTTTCTTGCTTTTTCCTTTCAACAACTTCTTTTACTCTCTTATTTATACGTCTAAAGTCTGCCTTTTTTCTTTCAATCTCATCATTCATACCGCCAGAATTACCAGCTTTGGTTGCTAGTAAATCTAGCCATGCCCTCTTCTTTGCTTCAACTTTCATCCCACCACAACGTATTAATTTTCCTTTCATTCGTTCTCTTACTTACACTACATACTTCGGTGGCTGTATCCACCAAAACTTTGTTAACATTATTCTATACATTCTTCAAGTCTAAATCATTCATACATAATTAATTCAACACACTTATATTTTCCCTCAGTCTGCATTTATAATTCTCTTTCACACCTTCATCTTGTAACCTCTCTATTCTCATACGCTCTAATGTAGTGGTAGACACAGATGTCCGATGCCGCCAACGCTTGAATAGACCATTAATTCGGCATAAGACCAAGTAATGATCCGTCCCTACGTTGGACCCACGATAAACCCTTGTATCTACCACTGCGCTCCTCATTCTTTCATCCACAATTATAAAATCTATCATGCTTCTATAATCCCCTCTTTCCCAAGTATACATGTGAATCCTCTTATGGCGAAAGAAAGTGTTCGCCAAAAAAGATTCTTTTCCACACATATGGTGAGGAGGTCTTCACCATTCTCATTTATTATTTCATCGCCAAACGCTCCTAATATCCTTTCATAACCAGACCTCTTCACTCCAACCCTTCCATTAAAATCTCCTAATATAATAATATTTTCATTTTCCTTACATTTCATCAACACCAGCCTTACCATGGATATAAGTGGGCTTAGACATAACTGGGGCGTACACCCCAAGCACGAACAACTTCTTTAAGCCCACTTTCATTCGTA